GAGTTAAAAAAAACTGAAAACTATTTTTCTTCAAAGACTATTTTGAGCCATATCCATTCAACTGGAGCCACAAAACAAAACAACGAACTTCTCGTATTAATGTGTTCCTGTAAACTTATTTTACTAGCTTTTGACTCACCTGTATCAGTTCCATCAACAAGTTCTTGATGCGCTGACCAACCGCTCCCCCCTTCGCGCTGAAAAGCTCCAGGAGCTTTGGAGTGTCCAGCTGAGACATAAATGTTGATTCCAGTGGAACTGCAGTGCACCTTCGAAACTCCTCATTTCTCTGCAAAACAGCAACTTATCTGCTGTTACTTTGGACGTTCAAGAGGTGTATGCAAATAGCACCATTTCAATTTTATGCGATCCACTACTCTACTGAAAAACTGGGGATTGTAGATTTCAGTACATATTGTAATACAAAGATTTGTCTAGTGTCATCACAGGTCCCAATACACTCTTGTTCATTTCTTATTACCTACTAAAGAATAGCAGTTTACTCTAGCTGGTAGTAAGTGGAGATTCAGAAATACAGTACTTGAATGATTAGTCATTTACCTGGAGTGTTTCATGTGGAAAGGCAAATGTGGCACTTCAATGTCACCATGTGCTTTGCTGCAACAATATAGGCTGACAGAGGACAAACATCACTAAGGCTTTGTTGTTCAACAAGAGTAATGTGATCTGTCTTCTCAAGATGAAATCCACGATAGTGTTCATCATACCAGGACAGCTGTGTTCTTACAATAAAATGCACTCTCTCCCCAAAAAGTGTAATTTCAAAAATCTCTGCAAAATCAGGAAGACCTGCAGTGCAACCATAGGCCACAAACATGCCTTTTGAATACCTTGTTCACTCAGAGCAGGCTCAACTGTTGTGCAATGCAGGTGATGGCTGATCATAAGTTAATTTTTTGCTGCCAGGGATAGGATTATGTTCTTAAAATTGCCAGTGTGCCTCACAATCCGTTTAAATTGGCTGTGTTTTGCTTCAAATGTCATTATCTAGAAAGCCATCACAGGTCCAAATGCTTTTATTAATGGCAATGTAGATGCCGTCACACTCTAAGATAGCAATGTCTTATAACAAAAGAGCAAGCACTTCAGCACAGCCAAATCTTTTGATGTTGATGCAACTGCATTGCATAAAAGAGTCAGGTATACTGAGTTAAGACTGGATCAAGATAAGTAAAGGATGTTGCCAAAGACCCAGTACACCACTGTAATTTTATGCTTTTTTCTTGATGTTCCCAAACAGTGGTACCCAATTACAAACCTGAAAGTCATCCACATACAGTACAAGACAATGCTCGACCTCATGTGGCTGGAGTGCGTCAGCAGTTCCTGCAAGAGGAAGGCATTGATGCTGTATTTAACATTCATTAAGACTACATTAATACAATAAAATAAAAACAAAATCAACAACAGTATTAATGAAATCAGCAATATAAATAATATATAAAACCTAATCATTTTATTTAGTCTATAACTTAGAAGAAAAATTAAGAACCATTACCGATTACAAGACATTTAGTAAAATAGGTATAATCTGCAAGTATCTTTGTAACAACACTTTAACACTATTATGATTCCCTTGGCTCCAACCACTATCTAGGTCTTGAGAATAGCTCAGTGCAATAAATTTCTGAGCTTGTATGTTCTCTATTGAGACAGACGCAGATTCGAATCCTGAGATTTATTTTTGTTATAAAGGCAATGAAAACTCTCAGGGATTTATTCATTACATTACTTTCATGGATTGTATACTGTCCCTTTTTATATTTCTGTTTGTAATGAAGACTAGAGAACAACCTTCTTCCTCAAAGGCCTGGAAATGTATACACAAAGGTAATAATAAAAGTCTTGTCTTTACATTTTCTGTTTTGTCCTTTAACCTTTGTACTGGGTGACTAATATTAAATTACGTTGATCAGATGGGTAATCAGCGTCGCTTAACGATGGTTCGTACCATGTAAGTTACCAACTTAGTTACTTCCATAGTTCGAAGGTGGGGCCTTTTTCTTGGCTTGGTTTCCCTCATGTAAAAGACCAACGCCGCTCTCTACGCAATAATTGGTATTTGTAAAAAGCAAACTTGACGGGAAAATGAGCAGTCCTTCGCGCAAACTCTGACCCAGGCGTACGGCGAAAAACGGTTCGGCAGATGGAAGAAACACGTGAAAGTGTGTGTATCTGTATCTGTAGACCGTTGTGTAAAAGAAATGCCAATACTGCCTCTCATAAAAAACATGAAGACTTCACAAAGCACGTCTTACAATTAACAGCCTACACGAACACCTGTTTGATCGATCTGCAGTGTAAAACAAACAGAAATACAAATTAACACATTTTGAAAAAGAAAAGTGAAATATGTTATGCAATTATATTAGCATGTTATGCAATTCATCCTCATAACACAGCTGTAGCTTGTCAGATGCCATCAAATGGACGGTAATAAAATGCCATGATGCCATCCCAGTGCGTAATGACAAGCAATGGCTGATCTTGCGCTCTTAGAAGATGTGGCAAATGGAAGGATTCGGAGTGAACGCATCTTCAGACAGCAAGAAGACTTGCAAACGAGGACGAGTGGCTTATGAGCCGGTTCCGACTTCCACGAGCCGTCCTGTTGGACCTCTGCGGTCTTTTGGGCCCAGTGTTACAGAGGAGCACTCGGAGGAACCACACCGTGCCAGTCCCACTTCAAGTCCTAACAACACTAGGATTCCTGGCGACTGGCACTTTTCAGAGGGAATTGGCTGACAGGTCAGGTATATCTCAGCCGACCTTAGCCGGGTAATGCCAGACGTGTTAAAAGGCATAATAGCTTTGTCCCATGATTGCATAAAGTTTCCATACACGGTGGGTGAATAGGCAAACAAGAAAGCTCAATTTGCAGCCATGTACGGTTTCCCAAATGTAATCGGTGCTATTGACTGCACTCATGTTGCCATAAGGGCACCAAATGTTAATGAAAAGGCTTTCATTAATCGAGGCAAGCATCTTACTGATGTGCCATTATTTCGTAATCTTCTGTGCCTGGTGTTCTTGTCTGGCTTTGCTTCCTGTTCTGTTCTCCTTGATGTGATCCACCTGTTTTATGTACCTGCCCTGCTCGTTTGCCTCACTACTTAATGCCTGTGTTCTGTTCAGTTTATGTTGGATCATTGTGGTTTGTTGCTCATAGCCTGTGGATGCGCTGTAACCCGTGTTTGTCTCTGCCTGGTGTTTCAGTGAGCCTGGCCAGCTGGATTGTGTGGATTATTGTTTCTTGTGTTCTTTGGATTATACTTTTGGATTCAGCCACTGTTTGTAAGTGTGCTTGTTTTTTGTTAATAAATCATTGGACTTTATCTGCTCAGCTCTGGTGTCCTGTGTTTGGGTCCTCAACTAGCTCACACACACTGCAAACCCTAACAGTATATTCATGGAACTATACAACACATTCTGTTTCTGCCAAAGATTGGGATGAATTAAGAGTTAAGTATCCTTAAATGTGTGCACACAACACAGTGGGATGGCTCTGTGCTGGAGACCTTGCGTGTAATTTTAGACCTTGAGGTCTACATGTCACAGCTCTGATCATGATTCCAGCTGTTTTATTTGATTCTCTTGTGTTTTCACTGTTCCCTCCTCCCTGTGTGTGTTTGTGTTAATATTAACAATGAATTAGATTTATATAGCACTTTTCTAAATACTCAAAGACGCTTTACAGTGGGAAGAGTTTTTTCTCCACATTCTTTGAGCTAAACTCAAAGATCTAAGACTTTCTTTATGTACACAAGACCTATTTCTCTCAAATATGGTTCACAAATCAAAATCTGTGTTAGTGAGCACTTCTCCTTTGGCGAGATAATCCATTTACCTCAGAGGTGTGGCATATGAAGATGCTGATCAGACAGCATGGGTATTGCACAGGTGTGCCTTGGGCTGGCCACAATAAAAGGCACCTTGAATACGTGCAGTTCCATCGCACAGCACAATGAAATAGTTTTGTGGAATTGTGCAATTGGCATGCTGACTGCAGGAATGTCCACCAGAGCTGTTGCCCATGATTCGAATGTTCATTTCTCTACCATAAGCCGTCTCCAAAGGCGTTTCAGAGAATTTGGCAATACATTCAACCAGCCTCACACCCTTAGGCCATATGTGACAACACCAGCCCTGGACCTCCACATCCACTATCATCACCTCCAAGACCAGCCTCCCGGACAGCTGATGCAACAATCGTTTTTTAAATCCAAAGAATTTCTGCACAAACTGTCAGGAACCGTCTCAGCTCATCGGGGTCTTGACCTGACTTCAGTTCAGTTGCAGTATGATGATGCACAACCCCATGTTGCAAGGATCTGTACACATTTCCTTGAAGCTGAAAACATCCCAGTTCTTGCATGGCCAACAAACTCAACAGACATGTCACCCATTGAGTATGTTTGGGATGCTGTGGGTCGGCGTATATGACAGTGTGTTCCAGGTCCTGCCAATATCCAGCAACTTCGCAAAGCCATTGAAGACGACTGGACCAACATTCCACAGGGCACAAACAACAGCCTGATCAACTCTATGTGAAGCATATGTGTTGCACTGCATGAGGCAAATGGTGGTCACACCAAATGCTGAATGATTTCCAGGCCCTCCCATTACAGTGAAACTGCACATTTCCGTCGTGTTTTTCTATTGTGGTATTCTCTGTGCTACAGTCATCATCCACTTGCTGCTTCAGCTCAGACTCCTTTTCAAACCTTAAAATGGAAGCATTCATTGATGTACTGGCCATTATAAAAAAATTATTAAAATATTGACTTTCTGCTTTATAGTTATACAATTTTAAATTGGGCTAGATAAGGCTTCATGTTGTGGCCAGTGTGTTCAGACTTCTATTACTCAGTGCCAGTAGCACTTTCTGTGATTTTGACTGTTGGGTTATCTTTCCAAGAAGCCCAAACCATTTACTCCAAATCAAGAACAGCATTCTATTTACTTTGGGTATGGTTTGATTAAGCTTTTTAATTTTACAGGAATTGTACAAGGTTAAACATGCCCTGGTACATTTTCTCTTTACCCACCAAAATTGGAAAACCTCACACAAGAGACAATTTAAATTCACAAAAGAATCATTGATTTTGAAATTATAGAAACCACAATAGTTTCATAGAATATAGCTATACGTCATTACATAAATACAATGTGTATACTAAGAAAATCAACAGTGCATTGTTTTAAATTAAGTACCATGACCTTTGATAAAACTTTATAAGGTGGTTCTGGGTTGGGGTGTGCAGCCCACTTCTAGCTGCATGTGTGCCTTCATTTAATTTGTTCTCTTGTTTGCTTTACAATATGCTCACTATAGAGCTGTTATGTTGCTGTATTTGTAAATGAAACCTAAACATGAATTTCACAAAGGTTTAGATAGTTTTAAGGTCAGAGTAAAACAACACCATTTTGAATCATCTTTGCTTGTAGACAGACAAGACTGTGTTGATGACAACTAACTTCACAGACATCTCACATTTGAATATCTTTCATACAATGGTGAGAGTGATTTTACTTTCCAGTGTGGCTGATTTGAGTTTAGCATGACTAAAGAACAGCATTAGTACTAACTGACAGTTAAATATTGCTATAGCACAGTGCTCAGAGAAGCAAGATGCATTTATACATTACATTTTATATAAAAAGTCAAAGAGTGCAACCATTTCTGACATCCCAGGGCTTAACAGACAGTATTGTTATTTTGTTTAGGTTGTTATTGTAGTGATGATTCAATGGGCCAGGTGCTTAAAGTTGGCTGTGTCATTCTTCATACAAGAGCAAAGACCATCATGAATCTTGGATTTTTACCGACAACAAAGTCCTTGTTCATACCAGTAATGGCAGTCATAGTCTGCTGGCAATTCAAATGGTAATCAGCACTGATGCTATTGCTGGCTTGATAGTATCCATGACAACAGTACCAGGCAGGATGCAGTAACGAGACTGATCTTGTGGCTCACTCCACTTGATTCTGTAAATTCTGTAAAAAGTAAACAAAACATTAGTTAAATAAACAGTTTATCAACATTTTGACATTTTTGAAGAAGTAGAACACAATATAGCTTACGGGCGCCATTCACGGTGATTGAGCTGCCTTCAATGTCGAAGCCAGTGATGTTTAAACGTTCACTGATCAAAACCCTCCCAATCTGAGTTTTACTGGGAACAGATGTGCTTGCAAAGAGAAGGTTCATGTCATTGATGACTGATCCACTTCTGCAGATGGAGAAACATAAAATATTTATGAAATATCACATTTCACTACTCTGAAATTGTAACACGGTAAGTCTTAACAAATTACCTGAATGACACCACGTCCAACGAACTGAAGGAGGAAGGGAATGCCTTTTGGAACGCAGGTTCAAGCTGCAGAAACAGAAAACAAATTTTACTTAAACACATTTCACATATATGTTTGCCTAAGTTGTACAGCCAGTCTGTGAGCTGGAGGTGTAGTTTAGTTATCTTTGCTCTTTATTTAATATAATTATTATTGTTCTTCTGCAGCAGCATAAAAAATGCAAATATTCTAGTTTTTCATTATATATACCCCTTGATATCTCTTTCATAGACTTTCTCAAAAATGTATGTTCCCTTATTTTACAGTTTTTCTGTACTTTCTGTAGTGCAGAGAACTGTGTCCATGAGACAGACAGGAGGAAAAATAATGATGAGAACCACAACAGGATTCAAAAATGAATTGATGATGACCTATTCATTTTTTGCAGTAACATTAAGTGTCTTCATGTGTATTTCTGGGCAGTGTGCACATTTGTTCAACTGGAATTCCATTCCTTACATTGTGGGGAATTTCTACCTGGGGAATTGACCAGCACCATCCATGAATCAAGTTTTCATAAAGTATTTACTTATAAACAAGACTATAGGGAACAATGGAGTAATTAAATTACACTATTTTTGTCAATACTAGTTACTTACAGGAAAACAAACTTTTGTAAAGATTTAACACCTAGAAATATACAGACCTAGAAAGATACAAAAATAAATACTAAAGTAAAAAGAGTATTAGCTGTATTTTAACATGTTACCATAACATTTCAGTTCTCTGAATGGGGGACTGAGCTCCAGTAATTGTACCAGAAGATTTTATTTTAAGAGTTTAACTTACCTGTGTCTTTATCATTGAAACTCGATCTTTAAATGCTGCAGATGATGGATTGTTCAAGTCACTTGTAAATGTGCTTTGAAGAGATCTGAAAGTCACCCTTGTTGTAATGAGTGCTACAGTTGTAGGTGTGGTAGATGTAGATGTGGTAGATGTAGATGTGGTAGATGTAGATGTGGTAGTTGCAGGTGCAGTAGAAGTAGATATGGTAGTTGCAGGTGTGGTAGTTGTAGATGGAACTGGACCTTCTGTAAAACATAAAAAAGAACAAGTTAATAAGTATTGAAACCAAAAATAATTTGTTTGGTGTAAAACTGACTTTGGTGCCAGTTTACAAGGACCATCTTAAAGGCCATAGAAAGAGTTGGCTCTGTAGACTTTTTAGCTTCTTGTCTAGTTCGAATTTGCTAAAATCAAAAATCTTACAGTTAATAACAAATTATTCTTACACATATTCTGGCTAAATACAAGATAGCTTAAAATTAGCTTGTCATGTCACTTTTTAATGAACCTCGTCTATAGCTTTGTTTCCTGTGCAGCAGCATAATATTTCAATAACTTATTTAAAAACTGCATGAGCAGCTCATTATTTCAATTTTTTTTTACATACTGATTAGAGCAAAACATTGTGTTGTGTTTACTTACCTATTAGTATGACTCTGTTGGGATTTATGGTCACATTGAAGCTGTTGTTGGTATTATTCACAGCTTCTACTAAGGTTTGAGCAACGACACTGTTCTGTGGGAGTTCTTCAAAGCGAGTTGTCTGATTGAACACAACCTGCAGCTCTGCTTCAGTTACATCGGCTCGAATTGGAACACTCCTGTTTCATAAAACCAAATGTCAAATAAAAATATGGGGTGACTGTTGTTATTTGTTATGGGTGATTTACACAAGACAGTACCAATTTTAGGAACATACATCTGCATACAAAACACCAATGAACCACTGTAAGAAAAATGTATTTACCTGAACAGTGTCACAGTACAGTGGTCAAACTGAACAAATCTTGCTCTGTATATGAACTCACACTGCAAGAAAAAGCAACATTGAAAACCCTTGAGTAGCATTCAAGCACAATTGTTTGAAAATTGAAATTGAATTGAATTGAAATGAAAATGTACATGAAATTAATTTCCAGCTTAACAAATGTCCTTCAGCTAAACATTTGTGTATAATCATGTGTAACATTCTCACGGTCAGTAATTTGTTCAATTTGGTTCAAATTACTCACCGTAGCTATAACTCGTTGCTCAAGATCTTTGAATGGACTGCTGTTGGGGTTAGTGAAGTCAACTGAAAAAGAAATTTCCAAAATGATTGAGATAAGGTAAATAGGTGGAGCGGCCAAAGTCGTGTTTGGTGCAGCAGTTGTTGGTGGAGCAGGTGTCGTTGATGTAACTGTCGTTGTCAGGGCAGGGGTCGTTGTTGCTTCGGTTGTTTGAGCAGTTAGATCAGGAAATATGGTTCCATTCACTTTGATTGAGCTCCTTTCAATGTCGAAGCCAGTGACGTTTAAACTATCATTGATCAAAACCCTCCTAATCTCAGTATTATTAGGAACAGATGTGCTTGCAAAGAGAAGGTTCATGTCATTGATGACTGATCCATTTCTGCAGATGGAGAAACATAAAATATTTTAGAAATATCAGATTTTGGCCAATTTTTAAATTGTAACACTGTAATTCTTAACAAATTACCTGAATGACACCACGTCCAAGAACCTGAAGGAGGAAGGGAATGCCTTTAGGAACACAGGTTCAAGCTGCAGAAACAGAAAACAAATTGTACTTTTCACACATTACACATATATGTTTGCCTAAGTTGTACAGTGAGCTGGAGGTGTAGTTTAGTTATCTTCGCTCTTTATTTCATATAATAATTATTATTTTTATTCTGCAGCAGCATAAAAAATGCAAATATTCTAGTTTGTCATTATATTTAACCCTTGATATCTCTTTCATAGACTGTCTAGCAAGAGTAAAAGTTTTTCCTTATTTTACAGTTTTTTCTTTTTCTTTTATTTTCTTCAATTCTGTAGTGAAGAAAAACTGCTCCAGGAGAGAGACAGACAGCAGGAAAAATAAGAACCACTACAGGATTCAAAAAATAATAGATTTCCTATTCATTTTTTGCAGAAGCATTACATTTCTTCATGTGTATTTCTGGGCAGTGTGCACATTTTTTCAACTGGTGTGCGATTCCTTTCTATGTGGGGAATTTCTGCTTGGGGAATTGACCATTCGCAATCCGTGTTTCAATTCATCGTACCATCGATTTACTAACATCCCGAATAAAGAGTACTAAATTTCGTGCGCATTCTAAAATATTGCACGTGCGATTTTAGTGCCTGTTATGGGTGATTTACTAAATATTATTGTATAGATGACAACAGGAGCAAACACAATGGAGGTGTCAGTACTTAAATGAGGGGTTTTGCATGTTTTAATGTTTTCCGGCATAAAGTCGGGAGGGAAAGCAGCCACTGCGTAAAAACCTTGTTTGTGGTTTGTTTCATTCAGTGCGTCTGACAGCACACCTGACAAACTGCTTTGGGAAACCCCAGCAGAAATAGGTACAGTATGCTGGAATGACCCAGACGCGAGGAAATGCCAGCAGATTGTGCTTCATCCAGCCAGAGGGAATAATCATCGACCATCCGCTCCGTGATCTCCTGTCCCTGTACGCCCCCACGCCCGATTCCCTCTCCGATACCTACAATGGGTTGTGTCGCTATTACAACCGCCATGCTGTGAACCGTTGGTGATTGTTTCCTCTGGCTGGATGAATTTTACGTGTAATCCATGCAGTGGAAATTCTTCCATCTCACGGAGAAAAGAAGTCAGGTCGAAACGAAATGTGCTTTATTGGCATGAATGTTAATATAACCGTATTGTCAAAGCTAAAGGAAAATACAAAAAAACAACAATTCAATTCATATATTTCATCGAATAAATAAAATAAAATAACTGTATAACAGCAGCCATCTTCGCGCAACACTTGGCAGTTTGCACCTTCCTTTCAAACTTATTAAATACAGATGCTGTTGCACTCACATGAAATTGCGTTGTAGAGACTTTTGCACACGTTTTCACTCATGCAAACCTTTAGTAAATCAGGCCCTATATGTTTTATCAGATAAAGTACAATTATTGAAGTTTAGCATGCCTTAATGCTTATTTTTTAAGGTTACTAAGGTTATTAACAAGACTATAGGACTAGGACTATAGAAGAACTGAGTAAGTAAATTATACTATTTTTGTAAATACTGGTTACTTACTGGAAAACAAACATTTGGAAAAAATTAACACCTAGAAAGAGACAAACCTAGAAAGATACAAAAAGTAAATACTACGTAAAAAGAGTATTAGCTGTATTTAAAGTGTTACCATAACATTTCAGTTCTCTGAATGGGGGACTGAGCTCCAGTAATTGTACCAGAAGATTTTATTCTGAGTTTGACTTACCTGTGACTTTATCATTGAAACTCGATCTCTAAATGCTGCAGATGATGCATTGTTCAAGTCACTTGTAAATGTGCTTTGAAGAGATCGGAAAATCACCCTTGTTGTAATGAGTGCTATAGTTGTAGGTGTGGTAGTTGCAGGTGCAGTAGAAGTAGATGTGGTAGTTGCAGGTGCAGTAGAAGTAGATGTGGTAGTTGCAGGTGCAGTAGAAGTAGATGTGGAAGTTGTGGATGCACCGGTTGTAGATGTTATAGGTGCAGTTGTTGAAGCAGGTGTCGTTGGAGCAGGTGTCGCTGTTGCGTCCGTTGCTGGAGAAGACGAAGTTGTTTGCTTGGTTGTCGGGGAAATTGTCGTTGTTGGTGCAGTTGTTGTTGGGGCAGATGTCGTCTGAACAGTTGTTGCAGTAGTCGTTGTTGCTTCAGTTGTTGTTGGGGCAGGTGTCGTTATTGTTTCAGTTGTTGGAGCAGGTGTCGTTGCTGCTTCAGTTGTTGTTGGGGCAGGTGTCGTTATTGTTTCAGTTGTTGGAGCAGGTGTCGTTGCTGCTTCAGTTGGTGTTGGGGCAGGTGTCGTTATTGTCCCAGTTGTTGGAGCAGGTGTCGTTGCTTCGGTTGTTGGAGAAGATGTCGTTGTTGCTTCAGTTGTTGTCGGGGCAGGTGTGGTTGTTGCTTCAGGTGTTGTTGTTGCTTGAGTTGTTTGAGCAGGTGTCGTTGTTGCTTCAGTTGTTGTTGGTGCAGTTGTTGGAACAGGTGTCGTTTCTTCGGTTGTTGGAGAAGATGTCGTTGTTGCTTCAGCTGTTGTTGGGGCAGGTGTCCTTGCTTCAGTTGTTTGAGCAGGTGTCGTTGTTGCTTCAGTTGTTGTCATGGCAGGTGTCGTTTCTTCGGTTGTTGGAGAAGATGTCGTTGTTGCTTCAGTTGTTGGAGCAGGTGTCGTTGTTGCTTGAGTTGTTTGAGCAGGTGTCGTTGTTGCTTCAGTTGTTGTCATGGCAGGTGTCGTTTCTTCGGTTGTTGGAGAAGATGTCGTTGCCTCAGTTGTTGGAGCAGGTGTCGTTCTTGCTTCGGTTGTTGGAGCAGGTGTTGTTGTTGCTTCTGTTGTTGGAGAAGATATCATTGTTGCTTCAGTTGTTTGAGCAGGTGTCGTTGCTGCTTCAGTTGTAGTCGGGGCAGATTTCGTTTCTGCAGTTGTTGGAGCAGGTGTCATCGTTTCTTCAGTTGTTGGAGCACTTGTAGTTCTTACTTCAATTGCTGTTGGGGCAGGGGTGGTTGTTGCTTCAGTTGCTGGAGAAGATGTCGTTGTTGCGTCATTTGTTGTTGGCGAAGGTGTCGTTATTGCCTCAGTTGTTGGAGCAGGTGTTGTTTCTTCAGTTGTTGGAGCAGTTGTACTTGATTCAGTTGTTGTCATGGCAGGTGTCATCGTTGCTTCAGTTGTTGGAGCTGGTGTCGTTGTTACTTCAGTTGTTGTTGGGGCAGGGGTCGTTGTTGCCTCAGTTGTTGGAGCTGCTGTTGTTGTGGCTTCAGTTGTTATCGGGGCAGGTGTTGTGGTTGCCTGAGTTGGAGCAGGTATTTCTGTTGCCTCAGTTGTTGGAGCAGTTGTAGTTGTTTCCTCAGTTGTTGTTGGGGCAGGTTTCATTGCCTCAGTTGTTGGAGCAGGTGTCATCGTTGCTTCAGTTGTTGGAGCTGGTGTCGTTGTTACTTCAGTTGTTGTTGGGGTAGGGGTCGTTGTTGACTCAGTTGCTGGAGCAGGTGTCGTTATTTCATCATTGGTTGTCGGGGCAGGGGTCGTTGTTGACTCAGCTTTGGAAGCAGGTGTTGTTTCTTCAGTTGTTGGAGCAATTGTCGTTGATTCAGTTGTTGTCGGGGCAGGTGTCGTCGTTGCTTCAGTTGTTGGAGAAGATGTCGTTGTTGCTTCATTTGTTGTCGGCGAAGGTGTCATTGCCTCAGTTGTTGGAGCAGTTGTAGTTGTTTTCTCAGTTGTTGTCGGGGCAGGTGTAGTTGTTGTCTCAGATGTTGGAGCAGGTGTCGTTGATTCAGTTGACTTCTGGGAAGGTTTCTTTGCCTCAGTTGTTGGAGTAGGTGTCATCGTTGACTCAGTTGTCGGAACAGGTGGCGTTTCTTCAGTTGTTGGAGCAGTTGCACTTGATTCAGTTGATGTCATGGCAGGTGTCATCGTTGTTTCAGTTGCTGGAGAAGATGTCGTTGTTGCGTCATTTGTTGTTGGCGAAGGTGTCGTTGTAGCCTCAGTTGTTGGAGCAGGTGTCGTTGTTGCCTCAGTTGTTGTCGGGGCAGTTGTCGTTGCTTCAGTTGTTGTTGGGGCAGTTGTCGTCATTGCTTCAGTTGTTGTCGGGGCAGATGTCGTTTCTGCAGTTGTTGGAGTAGGTGTCATTGGCATAGCTGTTGGAGCAGGTATTGATGGAGTTGTTGTGGAGATACTTGTTGATCCCTCAGTTGTTGGAGAATGTGTCGTCGCTTCAGTTGGAGATGTTGTTTCTTCAGTTGTTGTCGGAGCAGTTGTCGTTGTTGCTTCAGTTGTTGTCAGGGCAGTTGTCATCATTGTTTCAGTTGTTGTTGGGGCAGGTGTCGTTGTTGCTTCGGTTGTTGGAGAAGATGTCGTTGTTGCTTCAGTTGTTGTCGGGGCAGGTGTGGTTGTTGTGTCAGATATTGAAGCAGATGTTGTTGTTGCTTCAGTTGTTTGAGCAGGTGTTGTTGTTGCTTCAGGTGTTGTTGGGGAAGGTGTCGTTGTTGTTTCAAATGTTGGAGCAAGTGTCGTTGTTAGTTCATTTGTAGTCGGGGCAGGTTTCGTTGATGCCACAGTTGTTGGAGCAGGTGTCGTTGCTTCAGTTGTTGTTGGGGCAGGTGTCGTCGCTTTGGTTGTTGGAGCAGGTGTCGTTGTTGCTTGAGTTGTTTGAGAAGGTGTCGTTTCTGCAGTTGTTGGAGTAGGTGTCGTTGGCGTAGCTGTTGGAGCTGGTATTGATGCAGTTGTTGTGGAGATAATTGTTGTTCCCTCAGTTGTTGGAGACTGTGTCCTTGTTGCTTCAGTTGGAGATGTTGTTGATGCTTCAGTTGTTGTCGGGGTTGGTGTCGTTGTTGTCTCAGTTGTTGGAGCAGGTGTCGTTGTCTCAGTTGATAAAGCAGGTGTCGTTGCTTCAGTTGTTGTCGGGGCAGTTGTCGTCATTGCTTCAGTTGTTGTTAGGGCAGGTGTAGTTGTTGATGCTGTTGTTGTCAGGACACTTGTTGTTCCCTGAGTTGTTGGAGCAGGTGTCGTTGCCTCAGTTGGTGGAGCAGGTGTCGTTGTTTCTTCAGTTGTTGTGGTGACAGTTGTTGTTGTTGGAGCAGGTGCTGTGGGTTCAGTTGTTGGAGATATCGTTGTTGCATCAGTTCTTGTCGGGGCAGTTGTCGTTGTTGCTTCAGTTGTCGGGGCAGGTGTCGTTGTTGGCGCAGAAGGTGGAACAGGTGTCGTTGTTGCTTCAGTAGTGGTCCGGGCAGGTGTCGTTGTCGCCTCAATTGTTGGAGTAGGTGTCGTTGCTTCAGTTGTTGGAGAAGATGTCATTGTTGCTTCAGTTGTTGTCGCGGCAGGTGTCGTTGTTGAAGCAGTTGTTGGAGCAGGTGTTGTTTTTGACACTGTTGTTGCTGCTGTTGTTCTTGTTGTTTTTGTAGAAGTTGTTGGAGCACGTGTAGTTGCTTTTGATACTGTTGTTGCTGCAGTTCTTCTTGTTGTTTTTGGAGAAGTTGTTGTTGGAGCACGTGTTGTTGCTTTTGACACTGTTGTTGCTGCAGTTCTTCTTGTTGTTTTTGGAGAAGTTGTTGTTGGAGCACGTGTTGTTGCTTTTGACACTGTTGTTGCTGCAGTTCTTCTTGTTGTTTTTGGAGAAGTTGTTGTTCTAGAATGTGTTGTTTGTACAGTTGTTGGAGTACGTGTTGTTGTTTTTGACACTGTTGCTGCAGTCCTTATTGTTGTTTTAGAAGAGGTTGTTGTTTTCGGAGCAGGGGTAGTTGTTGTCGGAGCACGTGTTGTTTGAGCAGGTGTCGTTGTTGCTTCAGTTGTTGTCGGGGCAGGTGTCGTTGTTGCCTCAGTTGTTGGGGCAGGTGTCGTTGTTGGCGCAGAAGGTGGAGCAGGTGTCGTTGTTGCTTCAGTTGTTGTTGGGGAAGGTGTCATTGTGGATGCTGTTGTTGTCAGGACACTTGTTGTTTCCTCAGTTGTTGAAGCAGGTGTCGTTGTTCCCTCAGTTGTTGGAGCAGGTGTTGTTGTTGCTTCAGTTGTTGTCAGGGCAGGTGTGGTTATTGCCTCAGGTGTTGGAACAGGTGTCATTGTCGCCTCAGTTGTTGGAGTAGGTGTCGTTGCTTCAGTTGTTGTGAGGACAGTTGTTGTTGGAGTAGGTGTTGTTGCTTCAGTTGTTGATGCAGTTGTTGTTGGAACAGTTGTTGTTGCCTCAGGTGTTGGAGCAGGTGTCGTTGCTTCAGTTTTTGTGGGGACAGTTCTCGTTGTTGGAGCAGGTGTCGTTGCTTCAGTTTTTGTGGGGACAGTTCTCGTTGTTGGAGCAGGTGTCGTTGCTTCAGTTGTTGTGGGGACAGTTGTCGTTGTTGGAGCAGGTGCCGTTGTTGTTTCAGTTGTTGTCGGGGAAGGTGTCATTGTTGCTTCAGTTGTTGTCGCGGCAGGTGTCGTTGTTGCTTGAGTTGTTGTCGGGGCAGGTGTGTTTGTTGCTTCAGTTGTTGTCGGGGCAAGTGTCGTTGTTGATGCTGTTGTTGTCAGGACACTTGTTGTTTCCTCAGTTGTTGAAGCATGTGTCGTTGTTGGTGCAGTTGTTGTTGCTTCAGTTGTTGGAGCAGGTGTCGTTGTTGATGCAGTTGTTGTCGGGGCAGGTGTCGTTGTTGGTGCAGTCGTTGGAGAAGGTGCCTTTGCTTCATTTGTTAGAGCAGGTGTCATTGTTGATGCAGTTGTTGTCGGGACATTTGTTGTTGCCTCAGTTGTTGGAGCATGTGTCATTCTTGATGCATTTGTTGTCAGGACAGTTGTTGTTGCCTCAGTTGTGGGAGCAGGTGTTGTTGCTTTAGTTGTTGTCTGGGCAGGAGCCGTTGTTGCTTCAGTTGTTGTCTGGGCAAGAGCCGTTGTTGCTTCAGTTGTTGGAGCAGGTATTGTTGTTGATTCAGTTGTTGGAGCAGGTGTCGTTGTTGATGTAGTTGTTGTAAGGACAGTTGTTGTTACCTCAGTTGTTGTAGCAGGTGCCGTGCCTTCAGTTGTTGTTGGGGCAGGGGTAGTTGGTTCAGTTGTTGTCGGGGCAGGTGTCGTTTTTGCGTCAGTTGTTGGAGCAGGTGTTGTCGACTCAGTTGTTGGAGTATTTGTCGTTGTTGTTGGGGCAGCTGTCGTTGTTGCAGTTATTGTCGGGACAGTTGTTGCCTCAGTTGTTGTTGTTGCTTCAGCTGTTGTTGCTTCAGCTGTTGGAGCAGGTGTCGTTGTTGCTTCAGTTATCAGGGCAGTCGTCCTTGCTTCAGTTGTTGTTGGGGCAGTTGTCGCCATTGCTTCAGTTGTTGTTGGGGCAGATGTCGTTGTTTCTGCAGTTGTTGGAGTAGGTGTCGTTGGCGTAGCTGTTGGAGCAGGTGTTGGAGCAGGTGTCATTGTTGCTTCAGTTGTTGTCGGGACAGTCGTCGTTGCTGCAGTTGTTGTTATGACAGTTGTCGCCATTGCTTCAGTTGTTGTCGGGGCAGGTGTCGTTGTTTCGGTTGTTGGAGAAGATGTCGTTACTGCTTCAGTTGTTGTCAGGGCATGTGTGGTTGTTGCTTCAGTTGTTGTCAGGTCAGGTGTGGTTGTTGCTTCAGTTGTTTGAGCAGGTGTTGTTGTTTCTTCAGTTGTTGTTGGGGCAGATGTCGTTGTTGAAGCAGTTGTTGGAGTAGGTGTCGTTGCTTCAGTTCTTGTGGGGATAGTTGTCGTTGCTGCAGTTGTTGGAGTAGATGTTGTTGGCGTAGCTGTTGGAGCAGGTGTTGGAGAAGATGTCATTATTGCTTCAGTTGTTGTCAGGGCAGGTGTGGTTGTTGCTTCAGCTGTTGGAGCAGGTGTGGTTGTTGCTTGAGTTGTTTGAGCAGGTGTCGTTGTTGCTTCAGTTGTTGTTGGGGTAGATGTCGTTGTTTCTGCAGTTGTTGGAGTAGGTGTCGTTGCCGTAGCTGTTGGAGCAGATGATGTTGCTTCAGTTGTTGTGGAGATAGTTGTTGTTGTTCCCGCAGTTGTTAGAGCAGGTGTCAATGCCTCAGTTGGTCGAGCAGGTGTCGTTGTTGCTTGAGTTGTTTGAGCAGGTGTCGTTGTTGCTTGAGTTGTTGTTGGGGCAGATGTCGTTGTTTCTGCAGTTGTTGGAGTAGGTGTCGTTGGCGTAGCTGTTGGAGCAGGTGTTTGAGCAGGTGTCATTGTTGCTTCAATTGTTGTCGGGGCAGTCGTCGTTGCTGCAATTGTTGTCGGGGCAGTTGTTGCCATTGCTTCAGTTGTTGGAGATGTCATTGTTGCTTCAGTGGTCCGGGCAGGTGTGGTTATTGCCTCAGGAGTTGGAACAGGTGTCGTTGTTGCTTCAATTGTTGGGGAAGATGTCGTTGTTGCTTTCGTTGTTGTGGGGACAGTTGTCGTTGCTTCAGATGTTGTAGGAGCAGGTGTCGTTGATGAGGCAGTTGTTGGGGTAGGTGTCGTTGCTTCAGTTGTTGTGGGGACAGTTGTCGTTGCTTCAGTTGTTATAGGGACAGGTGTCGTTGATGAGGCAGTTGTTGGAGTAGGTGTCGTTGCTTCAGTTGTTGTCGGGGCAGGTGTCGTTGCTTCGGTTGTTGGAGAAGATGTCGTTGTTGCTTCAGTTGTTGTCAGGACAGGTGTGGTTGTTGCTTCAGCTGTTGGAGCAGGTGTCGTTGTTGCTTCAGTTGTTGTTAGGGCAGTCGTCGTTGCTTCAGTTGTTGTTGGGGCAGTTGTCGTCATTGCTTCAGTTGTTGTTGGGGCAGATAACGTTTCTGCAGTTGTTGGAGTAGGTGTCGTTGGCGTAGCTGTTGGAGCAGCTGTCATTGTTGCTTCAGTTGTTGTCGGGGCAGTCGTCGTTGCTGCAGTTATTGTCGAGGCAGTTGTCGCCATTGCTTCAGTTGTTGTCGGGGCAGGTGTCGTTGCTTCGGTTGTTGGAGAAGATGTCGTTGTTGCTTCAGTTGTTGTCAGGACAGGTGTGGTTGTTGCTTCAGCTGTTGGAGCAGGTGTCGTTGTTGCTTCAGTTGTTGTTAGGGCAGTCGTCGTTGCTTCAGTTGTTGTTGGGGCAGTTGTCGTCATTGCTTCAGTTGTTGTTGGGGCAGATAACGTTTCTGCAGTTGTTGGAGTAGGTGTCGTTGGCGTAGCTGTTGGAGCAGCTGTCATTGTTGCTTCAGTTGTTGTCGGGGCAGTCGTCGTTGCTGCAGTTATTGTCGAGGCAGTTGTCGCCATTGCTTTAGTTGTTGGCGGGGCAGGTGTCGTTACTTCGGTTGTTGGAGAAGATGTCGTTACTGCTTCAGTTGTTTGAGCAGGTGTTGTTGTTGTTGGGGCAGATGTCGTTGTTTCTGCAGTTGTTGGAGTAGGTGTCATAGCTGTTGGAGCAGGCGTTGTTGCTTCAGTTGTTGTGGATATACTTATTGTTGTTCCTGCAGTTGTTGGAGCAGGTGTCGTTGCCTCAGTTGGTGGAGCAGGTGTCGTCGTTGCTTCAGTTGTTGTCGGGGCAATTGTCGTTGTTTCAGTTGTTGTCGGGGCAGTTGTCGTCATTGCTTCAGTTGTTGTCAGGGCAGGTGTTGTTGATGCTGATGTCAGGACACTTGTTGTTCCCTGAGTTGTTGGATATGTCGTTGTTGCTTTAGTTATTGTGGTGACAGTTGTCGTTGTTGGAGCAGGTGCTGTGGCTTCAGTTGTTGATGCAGTTGTTCTGGGAACAGTTGTCGTTGCCTCAGTTGTTGGAGAAGGTGTCGTCACCTCAGTTGTTGCAGTAGGTGTCGTTGCTTCAGTTGTTGGGGAAGATGTCGTTGTTGCTTCAGTTGTTGTCGCGGCAGGTGTCGTTGTTGGAGCAGGTGTTGTTTCTTTAGTTGTTGTCGGGGAAGGTGTCGTTGCTTCGGTTGATGGAGAAGATGTCGTTGTTGCTTCGATTGTTGTCAGGGCAGGTGTGGTTGTTGCTTCAGCTGTTGGAGCAGGTGTCGTTGTTGCTTCAATTGTTGGGGAAGATGTCGTTGTGGCTTCAGTTGTTGTCGCGGTAAGTGTCATTGTTGAAGCAGTTGTTGGAGTAGGTGTCGTTGTTTCAGTTCTTGTGGGGACAGTTGTCGTTGCTTCAGTTCTTGTCGGGGCAGGTGTCGTTGTTGGAGCAGGTGTCGTTCCTTCGGTTGTTGGAGAAGATGTCATTATTGCTTCAGTTGTTGTCAGGGAAGGTGTGGTTGTTGCTTCAGCTGTTGGAGCAGGTGTCCTTGTTGCTTCAGTTGTTTGAGTAGGTCTCGTTGTTGCTTCAGTTGTTGTTGGGGTAGATGTCGTCTCTGCAGTTGTAGGTGTTGTTGTCTTAGCTGTTGGAGCAGGTGTCATTGCTTCAGTTGTTGTGGGGACTGTTGTCGTTGTTGGAGCAGGTGACGTTGTTCCTTCAATTGTTGGGGAAGAAATCGTTGCTTCAGTTGTTGTCGCGGTAGGTGTCATTGTTGAAGCAGTTGTTGGAGTAGGTGTCGTTGCTTCAGTTGTTGTGGGGACAGTTGTCGTTGCTGGAGCAGGTGTTGCTTCAGTTGTTGTGGGAACAGTTGTCATTGCTTCAGTTGTTGTAGGGGCAGGTGTCGTTGATGAGGCAGTTGTTGGAGTAGGTGTCGTTGCTTCAGTTGTTGTGGAAAAAGTTGTCGTTGTTGCTTCAGTTGTTGTCGGTGCAGGTGTGGTTGTTGCTTCAGCTGTCGGAGCAGGTGTCGTTGTTGCTTGAGTTGTTTGAACAGGTGTCGTTGTTGCTTCAGTTGTTGTTGGGGTAGATGTCGTTGTTTCTGCAGTTGTTGGAGTAGGTGTTGGAGAAGATGTCATTATTGCTTCAGTTGTTGTCAGGGCAGGTGTGGTTGTTGCTTCAGCTGTTGGAGCAGGTGTCGTTGTTGCTTGAGTTGTTTGAGCAGGTGTGGTTGTTGCTTCAGTTGTTGTTGGGGTAGATGTCGTTGTTTCTGCAGTTGTTGGAGTAGATGTCGTTGCCGTAGCTGTTGGAGCAGATGATGTTGCTTCAGTTGTTGTGGAGATAGTTGTTGTTGTTCCCGCAGTTGTTAGGGCAGGTGTCATTGCCTCAGTTGGTGGAGCAGGTGTCGTTGTTTCTTCAGTTGTTGTTGGGGCAGATGTCGTTGTTTCTGCAGTTGTTGGAGTAGGTGTCGTTGGTGTAGCTGTTGGAGCAGGTGTTGGAGCAGGTGTCATTGTTGCTTCAGTTGTTGTCGGGACAGTCGTCATTGCTGCAGTTGATGTTGAGGCAGTTGTCGCCATTGCTTCAGTTGTTGTCGGGGCAGGTGTCGTTGTTTCGGTTGTTGGAGAAGATGTCGTTACTGCTTCAGTTGTTGTCAGGGCATGTGTGGTTGTTGCTTCAGTTGTTGTCAGGGCAGGTGTGGTTGTTGCTTCAGTTGTTTGAGCAGGTGTTGTTGTTTCTTCAGTTGTTGTTGGGGCAGATGTCGTTGTTGAAGCAGTTGTTGGAGTAGGTGTCGTTGCTTCAGTTCTTGTGGGGATAGTTGTCGTAGTTTGAGCAGGTGTCGTTGCTTCAGTTGTTGTTGGGGCAGTCGTCGTTGCTGCAGTTGTTGGAGTAGATGTTGTTGGCGTAGCTGTTGGAGCAGGTGTTGGAGAAGATGTCATTATTGCTTCAGTTGTTGTCAGGGCAGGTGTGGTTGTTGCTTCAGCTGTTGGAGCAGGTGTCGTTGTTGCTTGAGTTGTTTGAGCAGGTGTCGTTGTTGCTTCAGTTGTTGTTGGGGCAGTCGTCGTTGCTGCAGTTGTTGTCGGGGCAGTTGTCGCCATTGCTTCAGTTGTTGGAGCAGGTGTCGTTGTTGCTTCAGTTGTTGTTGGGGTAGATGTCGTCTCTGCAGTTGTAGGTGTCGTTGTCGTAGCTGTTGGAGCAGGTGTCATTGCTTCAGTTGTTGTGGGGACTGTTGTCGTTGTTGGAGTTGGTGTTGTTGTTCCTTCAATTGTTGGGGAAGAAATCATTGTTGCTTCAGTTGTTGTCGCGGTAGGTGTCATTGTTGAAGCAGTGGTTGGAGTAGGTGTCGTTGCTTCAGTTGTTGTGGGGACAGTTGTCGTTGCTGGAGCAGGTGTTGCTTCAGTTGTTGTGGGAACAGTTGTTGTTGCTTCAGTTGTTGTAGGGGCAGGTGTCGTTGATGAGGCAGTTGTTGGAGTAAGTGTCGTTGCTTCAGTTGTTGTGGGGAAAGTTGTCGTCGTTGCTTCAGTTGTTGTCGGTGCAGGTGTCGTTGTTGGAGCAGGTGTTGATTCAGTTGTTGTGGGAACAGTTGTCATTGCTTCAGTTGTTGAAGGGGCAGGTGTTGTTGATGAGGCAGTTGTTGGAGTAGGTGTCGTTGCTGCAGTTGTTGTCGGGGCAGTTGACGTCATTGCTTCAGTTGTTGTCGGGACAGGTGTCGTTGGTCCAGTTGTTGTCGGGGCAGGTGTTGTTGTGGGTGCAGTCGTTGGAGTAGGTGCCTTTGCTTCATTAGTGGGAGGAGGTGTCGTTGATTCAGTTGTTGGAGCAGGTGTCGTTGTTGCGTCAGTTGTTGGAGTAGTTGTCGTTTTTGTTGGGGCAGCTGTCGTTGTTGCAGTTATTGTCGGGACAGTTGTTGCCTCAGTTGGTGTTGTTGCTTCAGCTGTTGTTGGGGCAGATGTCGTTGTTTCTGCAGTTGTTGGAGTAGGTGTCGTTGGCGTAGCTGTTGGAGCAGGTGTTGGGCCAGGTGTCGTTGTTGCTTCAGTTGTTGTCGCGGTAGGTGTCATTGTTGAAGCAGTTGTTGGAGTAGGTGTCGTTGCTTCAGTTGTTGTCAGGGCAGGTGTGGTTGTTGGAGCAGGTGTTGCTTCAGTTGTTGTGGGAACAGTTGTCATTGCTTCAGTTGTTGTAGGGGCAGGTGTCGTTGATGAGGCAGTTGTTGGAGTAGGTGTCGTTGCTGCAGTTGTTGTCAGGGCAGTTGTCGTCATTGCTTCAGTTCTTGTCGGGACAGGTGTTGTTGTTGATGCTGTTGTTGTCAGGACATTTGTTGTTCCCTGAGTTGTTGGCGCAGGTGTCGTGCTTTCAGTTGTTGTTGGGGCAGGGGTCGTTGGTTCAGTTGTTGTCGGGGCAGGTGTCGTTGTCGCCTCAGTTGTTTGAGTAGTTGTCATTGTTGTTAGGGCAGCTGTCGTTGCAGTTATTGTCGGGACAGTTGTTGCCTCAGTTGTTGTTGTTGCTTCAGCTGATGGGGAAGATGTCGTTGTTGCTTCAGTTGTTGTCGGGGCAGGTGTCGTTGTTGAAGCAGTTGTTGATGCAGTTGTTGTGGAGATACTTATTGTTGTTGCTTCAGTTGGTGGAGCAGGTGTTGTTGCCTCAGTTGGTGAAGCAGGTGTCGTCGTTGCTTCAGTTGTTGTCGGGGCAATTGTCATTGCTTCAGTTGTTGTCGGGGCAGTTGTCGTCATTGTTTCAGTTGTTGTTGGGGAAGGTGTCATTGATGCTGATATTGTCAGGACACTTGTTGTTCCCTGAGTTGTTGGATATGCCGTTGTTGCTTCAGTTGTTAATGCAGTTGTTCTGGGAACAGTTGTCGTTGCCTCAGTTGTTGGAGCAGGTGTCGTTGTCACCTCAGTTGTTGGAGTAGGTGTCGTTGCTTCAGTTGTTGGGGCAGATGTCGTTGTTGCTTCAGTTGTTGTCGCGGCAGGTGTCGTTGTTGGAGCAGGTGTTGCTTCAGTTGTTGGAGATGTTATTGTTGCTTCAGTTGTTGTCCGGGCAGGTGTGGTTGTTGCCTCAGGTGTTGGAGCAGGTGTCGTTGTCACCTCAGTTATTGCAGTAGGTGTCATTGCTTCAGTTGTTGAGGAAGATGTCATTGTTGCTTCAGTTGTTGTCACGGCAGGTGTCGTTGTTGGAGCATGTGTTGTTGCTTTAGTTGTTGTCGGGGCAGGTGTGGTTGTTGCCTCAGGTGTTGGAGCAGGTGTCGTTGTCACCTCAGTTATTGCAGTAGGTGTCATTGCTTCAGTTGTTGGGGAAGATGTCGTTGTTGCTTCAGTTGTTGTCACGGCAGGTGTCGTTGTTGGAGCAGGTGTTGTTGCTTTAGTTGTTGTCGGGGCAGGTGTGGTTGTTGCCTCAGGTGTTGGAGCAGGTGCCGTTGTCACCTCAGTTATTGCAGTAGGTGTCATTGCTTCAGTTGTTGGGGAAGATGTCGTTGTTGCTTCAGTTGTTGTCACGGCAGGTGTCGTTGTTGGAGCAGGTGTTGTTGCTTTAGTTGTTGTCGGGGCAGGTGTCGTTGCTTCGGTTGATGGAGAAGATGTCGTTGTTGCTTCAGTTGTTGTCAGGGCAGGTGTGGTTGTTGCTTCAGCTGTTGGAGCAGGTGTCGTTGTTGTTAGGGCAGCTGTCGTTGCAGTTATTGTCGGGACAGTTGTTGCTTCAGTTGTTGTTGTTGCTTCAGCTGTTGGGGAAGATGTCGTTGTTGCTTCAGTTGTTGTCACGGCAGGTGTCGTTGTTGAAGCAGTTGTTGATGCAGTTGTTGTGGAGATACTTATTGTTGTTCCCACAGTTGTTGGAGCAGGTGTCGTTGCCTCAGTTGTTGGGGCAGATGACGTTGTTGCTTCAGTTGTTGTCGCGGCAGGTGTCGTTGTTGGAGCAGGTGTTGCTTCAGTTGTTGGAGATGTCATTGTTGCTTCAGTTGTTGTCCGGGCAGGTGTGGTTGTTGCCTCAGGTGTTGGAGCAGGTGTCGTTGTCACCTCAGTTATTGCAGTAGGTGTCATTGCTTCAGTTGTTGGGGAAGATGTCGTTGCTGCTTCAGTTGTTGTCACGGCAGGTGTCGTTGTTGGAGCAGGTGTTGTTGCTTTAGTTGTTGTCGGGGCAGGTGTCGTTGCTTCGGTTGATGGAGTAGGTGTCGTTGTTGCTTCAGTTGTTGTCAGGGCAGGTGTGGTTGTTGCTTCAGCTGTTGGAGCAGGTGTCGTTGTTGCTTCAATTGTTGGGGAAGATGTCGTTGTGACTTCAGTTGTTTTCCGGGCAGGTGTCGTTGTTGAAGCAGTTGTTGGAGTAGATGTCGTTGCTTCAGATGTTGTGGGGACAGTTGTTGTTGTTTGAGCAGGTGTCGTTGCTGCAGTTGTTGGAGTAGATGTTGTTGGCGTAGCTGTTGGAGCAGGTGTTGGAGAAGATGTCGTTATTGCCTCAGTTGTTGTCAGGGCAGGTGTGGTTGTTGCTTCAGCTGTTGGAGCAGGTGTCGTTGTTGCTTGAATTGTTTGAGCAGGTGTCATTGTTGCTTCAGTTGTTGTTGGGGCAGATGTCGTTGTTTCGGCAGTTGTTGGAGTAGGTGTTGTTGGCGTAGCTGTTGGAGCAGGTGTTGGAGAAGATGTCGTTATTGCCTCAGTTGTTGTCAGGGCACGTGTGGTTGTTGCTTCAGCTGTTGGAGCAGGTGTCGTTGTTGCTTGAATTGTTTGAGCAGGTGTCATTGTTGCTTCAGTTGTTGTTGGGGCAGATGTCGTTGTTTCGGCAGTTGTTGGAGTAGGTGTTGTTGCCTCAGTCGGTGGAGCAGGTGTCCTTGTTGCTTCAGTTGTTGTCGGGGCAGTTGTCGTTGCTTCAGTTGTCGTTGGGGCAGGTGTCGTAGTTGATGCTGTTGTTGTCAGGACAGTTGTTGTTTCCTTAGTTGTTGGAGATGTTGTTGTTACTTCAGTTGTAGTCCGGGCAGGTGTGGTTGTTGCCTCAGGTGTTGGAAAAGGTGTCGTTGTCACCTCAGTTGTTAGAGTAGGTGTCGTTGCTTCAGTTGTTGTGGGGACAGTTGTCGTTGTTGGAGCAGGTGTCGTTGTTGCTTCTATTGTTGGGGAAGATGTTGTTGTTGTTTCAGTCTTTGTTGCGGCAGATGTCGTTGTTGAAGCAGTGGTTGGAGCAGGTGTCGTTGTTTTTGACACTGTTGTTGCTGCAGTTCTTGTTGTTTTTGAAGAAGTTGTTGTTGGAGCACGTGTTGTTGCTTTTGACACTGTTGTTGCTGCAGTTCTTCTTGTTGTTTTTGGAGAAGTTGTTGTTCTAGAACGTGTTGTTTGTACAGTTGTTGGAGTACGTGTTGTTGTTTTTGACACTGTTGCTGCAGTCCTTATTGTTGTTTTAGAAGAGGTTGTTGGAGCACGCGTTGTTGTTTTTGCAGTTGTTGTCGGCGGACGTGTCGTTGTTGCTTGAGTTGTTGTCGAGGCAGGTGTCGTTGTTGCTTGAGTTGTTGTCTGGACAGGAGCCGTTGTTGCTTCAGTTGTTGGAGCAGGTGTCGTTGTTGCTTCGGTTGTTGGAGCAGGTAGATCAGGAAATATAGTGCCATTCACGGTGATTGAGCTCCTTTCAATGTCGAAGCCAGTGACGTTTAAATCACTGATCAAAACACCCCTAATCTCAGTATTATTAGGAACATATGTGCTTGCAAAGAGAAGGTTCATGTCATTGATGACTGATCCACTTCTGCAGATGGAGAAACATAAAATATTTTTGAAATACCAGATTTTGGCCAATTGTAACACTGTAATTCTTATCAAATTACCTGAATGACACCACGTCCAAGGAACTGAAGGAGGAAGGAAATGCCTTTAGGAACACAGGTTCAAGCTGCAGAAACAAAAAACAAATCGTACTTAAACACATTTCACATATATGTTTGCCTACGTTGTACAGTGAGCTGGAGGTGTAGTTTAGTTATCTTGGCTCTTTATTTCATGTAATTATTATTATTATTATTCTGCAGCAGCAGCAGCAGCAGAATAAAAATGCCATCAAAGCGTTTTTTCTGACGCCAGCGTCTATTTTCATTTTCAGTTCATCCAATAAATAAAATAAAATAACTGTTTCTCAGTTCTTGGATATAGAATAATATTATCTAATATTGTTAATCTCTCAATGTTTTCATTCATTACGGCTGTGTCTCCTTCTGGCAACGATAACAGCAGCCATCTCCTCGTAACACTTGGCAGTTTGCACCTTCCTTTCAAACTTATTAAATACAGATGCTGTTGCACTCACATGAAATTGCATTGTAGAGACTTTTGCACAGGTGTTTACTCACGCAAACCTTTAGTAAATCAGGCCCTATATGTTTTATCAGATACAGTACAATTATTAAAGTTTAGCATGCCTTAATGCTTATTTTTTAAGGTTACTAAGGTTATTGATACTTTAAGAAACTTGGTTTTAATGATAACAGTGGTAACACTTTATAATAAAGCTTGTGATTTACAATCTAATTCTGTTGTATGAATCAACTTTTAATTAAGTATTTACTTATAAACAAGACTATAGGCCTAGGACTATAGAACAACTGAGTAAGTAAATTATACTATTTTTGTAAATACTGGTTACTTACTGGAAAACAAACATTTGGAAAAAATTAACACCTAGAAAGATACAAAAAGTAAATACTAAGTAAAAAGAGTATTTGCTGTATTTAAAGTGTTACCATAACATTTCAGTTCTCTGAATGGGGGACTGAGCTCCAGTAATTGTACCAGAAGATTTTATTTTAAGAGTTTAACTTACCTGTGTCTTTATCATTGAAACTCGATCTTTAAATGCTGCAGATGATTGATTGCTCAAGTCACTTGTAAATGTGCTTTGAAGAGATCTGAAAGTCACTGCTGTTGTAATGAGTGCTACAGTTGTAGGTGCGGTAGTTGTAGATGTGGTAGTAGTAGTTGTAGATATGGTAGTGGTAGTTGTCGCCTCAGTTGTTGGAGTAGGTGTCGTTGCTTCAGTTGTTGTGGGGACAGTTGTCGTTGTTGGAGCAGGTGTTGTTGTTGCTTCAATTGTTGGGGAAGATGTCGTTGTTGCTTGAGTTGTTGTATCGGTGGGTGTCGTTGTTGAAGCAGTTGTTGGAGCAGGTGTCGTTGCTTCAGTTGTTGTCGGGGTTGGTGTCATTGTTCCCACAGTTGTTGGAGATGTCGTTGTTGCTTCAGTTGTTGTCCCGGCAGGTGTGGTTGTTGCCTCAGGCGTTGGAGTAGTTGTCGTTGCTTCAGTTGTTGTGGGGACAGTTGTCGTTGTTGCAGTAGGTGTCGTTGTTGCTTCAATTGTTGGAGAAGATGTCATTGTTGCTTCACTTGTTGTCGCAGCAGGTGGTGTTGTTGAAGCTGTTGTTGGAGCAGGTGTCGTTGCTTCATTTGTTGGAGATGTCATTGTTGCTTCAGTTGTTGTCGGGGTTGGTGTCATTATTGCCTCAGTTGTTGAAGCAGGTGTCGTTGTTGAAGCAGTTGTTGGAGCAGGTGTCGTTGTTTCAGTTGTTGGAGATGTCATTGTTACTTCAGTTGTTGTCGGGGTTGGTGTCATTGTTCCCTCAGTTGTGGGAGATGTCGTTGTTGCTTCAGTTGTTGTCCCGGCAGGTGTGGTTGTGGCTTCAGCTGTTGTGGGGACAGTTGCTGTTGTTGATGCAGTTGTTGTGGGAACAGCTGTCATTGCTTCAGTTGTTGTCGGGGCAGGTGTCGTTGCTTCGGTTGTTGGAGAAGATGTCGTTGCTTTGGTTGTTGGAGAAGATGTCGTTGTTGCTTCAGTTGTTGTCAGGGCAGGTGTGGTTGTTGCTTCAGCTGTTGGAGCAGGTGTTGTTGTTGCTTCAGTTGTTGTTGGGGCAGATGTCGTTGTTTCTGCAGTTGTTGTTGCTTCAGCAGTTGATGAAGTTGTTGTGGAGATAGTTGTTGTACCCGCAGTTGTTGGAGTAGATGTCGTGGCTTCAGCTGTTGTGGGGACAGTTGTCGTTGTTGGGGCAGGTGTTGTTACTTCAGTTGTTGTCAGGGCAGGTGTTGTTGCTTCGGTTGTTGGAGAAGATGTCGTTGTTGCTTCAGTTGTTGTTAGGGCAGATGTCGTTGTTTCTTCAGTTGTTGAAGCAGGTGTCGTTGTTGAAGCAGTTGTTGGAGCAGGTGTCGTTGTTTCAGTTGTTGGAGATGTCATTGTTACTTCAGTTGTTGTCGGGGTTGGTGTCATTGTTCCCTCAGTTGTGGGAGATGTCGTTGTTGCTTCAGTTGTTGTCCCGGCAGGTGTGGTTGTGGCTTCAGCTGTTGTGGGGACAGTTGCTGTTGTTGATGCAGTTGTTTTGGGAACAGCTGTCATTGCTTCAGTTGTTGTCGGGGCAGGTGTCGTTGCTTCGGTTGTTGGAGAAGATGTCGTTGCTTTGGTTGTTGGAGAAGATGTCGTTGTTACTTCAGTTGTTGTCAGGGCAGGTGTGGTTGTTGCTTCAGCTGTTGGAGCAGGTGTTGTTGTTGCTTCAGTTGTTGTTGGGGCAGATGTCATTGTTTCTGCAGTTGTTGGAGCAGGTGTTGTTGCTTCAGCTGTTGATGCAGTTGTTGTGGAGATAGTTGTTGTACCCGCAGTTGTTGGAGCAGGGGTCGTTGCCTCAGTTGGTGAAGCAGGTGTCGTTGTTGAAGCAGTTGTTGGAGCAGGTGTCTTTGCTTCATTTGTTGGAGATGTCATTGTTGCTTCAGTTGTTGTCCCGGCAGGTGTGGTTGTTGCCTCAGGCGTTGGAGTAGATGTCGTGGCATCAGCTGTTGTGGGGACAGTTGTCGTTGTTGGGGCAGGTGTTGTTGCTTCAGTTGTTGTCAGGGCAGGTGTTGTTGCTTCGGTTGTTGGAGAAGATGTCGTTGTTGCTTCAGTTGTTGTTGGGGCAGATGTCGTTGTTTCTGCAGTTGTTGGAGTAGGTGTCGTTGTTTCTGCAGTTGTTGGAGCAGGTGTCGTTGGCGTAGCTGTTGGAGCAGTTGTTGGAGCAGGTGTTGTTGCTTCAGTTGTTGATGCAGTTGTTGTGGAGATAGTTGTTGTTCCCTCAGTTGTTGGAGAATGTGTCGTTGTCTCAGTTGGTGGAGTAGGTGTCGTTGTTTCTGTAGTTGTTGGAGTAGGTGTAGTTGGCGTAGCTGTTGGAGCAGTTGTTGGAGCAGGTGTTGTTGCTTCAGTTGTTGATGCAGTTGTTGTGGAGATAGTTGTTGTTCCCTCATTTGTTGGAGAATGTGTTGTTGAAGCAGTTGTTGTGGGAACAGCTGTCATTGCTTCAGTTGTTTTCGGGGCAGGTGTCATTGCTTCGGTTGTTGGAGAAGATGTCATTGTTGCTTCACTTGTTGTCGGGGTTGGTGTCATTATTGCCTCAGTTGTTGAAGCAGGTGTCGTTGTTGAAGCAGTTGTTGGAGCAGGTGTCATTGTTTCAGTTGTTGGAGATGTCATTGTTACTTCAGTTGTTGTCGGGGTTGGTGTCATTGTTCCCTCAGTTGTGGGAGATGTCGTTGTTGCTTCAGTTGTTGTCCCGGCAGGTGTGGTTGTGGCTTCAGCTGTTGTGGGGACAGTTGCTGTCATTGCTTCAGTTGTTGTCGGGGCAGGTGTCGTTGTTTCAGTTGTGGGAGATGTCGTTGTTGCTTCAGTTGTTGTCCCGGCAGGTGTGGTTGTTGCTTCAGCTGTTGGAGCAGGTGTTGTTGTTGCTTCAGTTGTTGTTGGGGCAGATGTCGTTGTTTCTGCAGTTGTTGGAGTAGGTGTCGTTGGCGTAGCTGTTGGAGCAGTTGTTGGAGCAGGTGTTGTTGCTTCAGTTGTTGATGCAGTTGTTGTGGAGATAGTTGTTGTTCCCTCAGTTGTTGGAGAATGTGTCGTTGTCTCAGTTGGTGGAGTAGGTGTCGTTTCTGTAGTTGTTGGAGTAGGTGTCGTTGGCGTAGCTGTTGGAGCAGTTGTTGGAGCAGGTGTTGTTGCTTCAGTTGTTGATGCAGTTGTTGTGGAGATAGTTGTTGTTCCCTCATTTGTTGGAGAATGTGTTGTTGTCTCAGTTGGTGGAGTAGGTGTCGTTGTTGCTTCAGTTGTTGGAGCAGGTGTCGTTGTTGCTTCAGTTGTTTTCGGGGCAGTTGTCGTCACTGCTTCAGTGGTTGTCGGGACAGTTGTCGTTGTTGATACTGTTGTTGTCAGGACACTTGTTGTTCCCTGAGTTGTTGGAGATGTCGCTGTTGTTTCAGTTGTTGTGGTGACAGTTGTCGTTGTTACAGTAGGTTTCGTTGTTGCTTCAATTGTTGGAGAAGATGTCGTTGTTGCTTCAGTTGTTGTCAGGGCAGGTGTAGTTGTTGCTTCAGCTGTTGGAGCAGGTGTTGTTGTTGCTTCAGTTGTTGTTGGGGCAGATGTCGTTGTTTCTGCAGTTGTTGGAGCAGGTGTTGTTGCTTCAGCTGTTGATGCAGTTGTTGTGGAGATAGTTGTTGTTGTACCCGCAGTTGTTGGAGCAGGGGTCGTTGCCTCAGTTGGTGAAGCAGGTGTCGTTGCTTCAGTTGTTGGAGATGTAATTGTTGCTTCAGTGGTTGTCGGGGTTGGTGTCATTGTTTCCTCAGTTGTTGGAGATGTCGTTGTTGCTTCAGTTGTTGTCCCGGCAGGTGTGGTTGTTGCCTCAGGCGTTGGAGTAGATGTCGTGGCTTCAGCTGTTGTGGGGACAGTTGTCGTTGTTGGGGCAGGTGTTGTTGCTTCAGTTGTTGATGCAGTTGTTGTGGGAACAGTTGTCATTGCTTCAGTTGTTGTCAGGGCAGGTGTTGTTGCTTTGGTTGTTGGAGAAGATGTCGTTGTTTCTGGAGTTGTTGGAGTAGGAGTCGTTGTTTCTGCAGTTGTTGGAGTAAGTGTCGTTGGCGTAGCTGTTGGAGCAGGTGTTGTTGCTTCAGTTGTTGTTGGGGCAGATGTCGTTGTTTCTGCAGTTGTTGGAGTAGTTGTGGTTGACGTAGCTATTGGAGCAGGTGTCAATGTTGGTTCAGTTGTTGTCGTTGCTTCGGTTGTTGGAGAAGATGTTATTGCTTCAGTCGTTGTCAGGGCACGTGTGGTTGTTGCTTCAGCTGTTGGAGCAGGTGTCGTTGTTGCTTGAGTTGTTTGAGCAGGTGTCATTGTTGCTTCAGTTGTTGTTGGAGCAGATGTCGTTGTTTCGGCAGTTGTTGGAGTAGGTGTTGTTGCCTCAGTCGGTGGAGCAGGTGTCCTTGTTGCTTCAGTTTTTGTCAGGGCAGTTGTCGTTGCTTCAGTTGTCGTTGGGGCAGGTGTCGTAGTTGATGCTGTTGTTGTCAGGACAGTTGTTGTTTCCTTAGTTGTTGGAGATGTTGTTGTTACTTCAGTTGTAGTCCGGGCAGGTGTGGTTGTTGCCTCAGGTGTTGGAAAAGGTGTCGTTGTCGCCTCAGTTGTTAGAGTAGGTGTCGTTGCTTCAGTTGTTGTGGGGACAGTTGTCGTTGTTGGAGCAGGTGTCGTTGTTGCTTCTATTGTTGGGGAAGATGATGTTGTTGTTTCAGTTGTTGTTGCGGCAGATGTCGTTGTTGAAGCAGTGGTTGGAGCAGGTGTCGTTGTTTTTGACACTGTTGTTGCTGCAGTTCTTGTTGTTTTTGAAGAAGTTGTTGTTGGAGCACGTGTTGTTGCTTTTGACACTGTTGTTGCTGCAGTTCTTCTTGTTGTTTTTGGAGAAGTTGTTGTTCTAGAACGTGTTGTTTTTACAGTTGTTGGAGCACGTGTGGTTGTTTTTGACACTGTTGTTGCTGCAGTCCTTATTGTTGTTTTAGAAGAGGTTGTTGGAGCACGCGTTGTTGTTTTTGCAGTTGTTGTCGGCGGACGTGTCGTTGTTGCTTGAGTTGTTGTCGAGGCAGGTGTCGTTGTTGCTTGAGTTGTTGTCTGGACAGGAGCCGTTGTTGCTTCAGTTGTTGGAGCAGGTGTCGTTGTTGCTTCGGTTGTTGGAGCAGGTAGATCAGGAAATATAGTGCCATTCACGGTGATTGAGCTCCTTTCAATGTCGAAGCCAGTGACGTTTAAACTATCACTGATCAAAACACCCCTAATCTCAGTATTATTAGGAACATATGTGCTTGCAAAGAGAAGGTTCACGTCATTGATGACTGATCCACTTCTGCAGATGGAGAAACATAAAATATTTTTGAAATACCAGATTTTGGCCAATTGTAACACTGTAATTCTTATCAAATTACCTGAAAGACACCACATCCAAGGAACTGAAGGAGGAAGGAAATGCCTTTAGGAACACAGGTTCAAGCTGCAGAAACAAAAAACAAATCGTACTTAAACACATTTCACATATATGTTTGCCTAAGTTGTACAGTGAGCTGGAGGTGTAGTTTAGTTATCTTGGCTCTTTATTTCATGTAATTATTATTATTATTATTCTGCAGCAGCAGCAACAGCAGAATAAAAATGCAAAAATTCTAGTTTGTCATTATATTTAACCCTTGATATCTCTGTCATAGACTGTCCAGCAAGAGTAAAGGTTTTTCATATTTTACTGTTTTTTCTTTTTCATTTCTGTAGCGCAGAAAAACTAGTCCAGTAGAAAGACAGACAGGAGGAAAAATAATGATGATAACCACTACAGGATTCAAAAAATAACAGATGACATGTTAATTTCTTGCAGAAGCAATTACGTTTCTTCATGTGTATTTCTAGTCAGTGTGCACATTTTTTCAACTGGTGTTCGATTCCTTTCTATGTAGGGAAATTCTACTTGAGGAATTGACCATTCGCTAGCTGTGTTTCAATTCTTTGTACAAAGGGCCTGATTTACTAAAATCCCGATTAAAGAGTACTAAGTTTTGTGTGCATTCTAAAATATTGCACGTGCAATTTTAGTACCTGTTATGGGTGATTTAGGGCCCGTGTCCACCAAAGCGTTTTTTCTGACGCCAGCGTCTATTTTCATTTTCAGTTCATCCAATAAATAAAATAAAATAACTGTTTTTCAGTACTTGGATATAGAATAATATTATCTAATATTGTTAATCTGTCAATGTTTTCATTCATTACGGCTGTGTCTCCTTCTGGCAACGATAACAGCAGCCATCTCCTCGTAACACTTGGCAGTTTGCACCTTCCTTTCAAACTTATACAGATGCTGTTGCACTCACATGAAATTGCATTGTAGAGACTTTTGCACAGGTGTTTACTCACGCAAACCTTTAGTAAATCAGGCCCTATATGTTTTATCAGATACAGTACAATTATTGAAGTTTAGCATGCCTTAATGCTTATTTTTTAAGGTTACTAAGGTTATTGATACTTTAAGAAACTTGGTTTTAATGATAACAGTGGTAACACTTTATAATAAAGCTTGTGATTTACAATCTAATTCTGTTGTATGAATCAACTTTTAATTAAGTATTTACTTATAAACAAGACTATAGGCCTAGGACTATAGAACAACTGAGTAAGTAAATTATACTATTTTTGTAAATACTGGTTACTTACTGGAAAACAAACATTTGGAAAAAATTAATACCTAGAAAGAGACAAACCTAGAAAGATACAAAAAGTAAATACTAAGTAGAGTAATTTGCTGTGTTACCATAACATTTCAGTTCTCTGAATGGGGGACTGAGCTCCAGTAATTGTACCAGAAGATTTTATTTTAAGAGTTTAACTTACCTGTGTCTTTATCATTGAAACTCGATCTTTAAATGCTGCAGATGATTGATTGCTCAAGTCACTTGTAAATGTGCTTTGAAGAGATCTGAAAGTCACTGCTGTTGTAATGAGTGCTACAGTTGTAGGTGCGGTAGTTGTAGATGTGGTACTAGTAGTTGTAGATATGGTAGTGGTAGTTGTCGCCTCAGTTGTTGGAGTAGGTGTCGTTGCTTCAGTTGTTGTGGGGACAGTTGTCGTTGTTGGAGCAGGTGTCGTTGCTTCAGTTGTTGGAGATGTCATTGTTGCTTCAGTTGTTGTCGGGGTTGGTGTCATTGTTCCCACAGTTGTTGGAGATGTCGTTGTTGCTTCAGTTGTTGTCCCGGCAGGTGTGGTTGTTGCCTCAGGCATTGGAGTAGGTGTCGTTACTTCAGTTGTTGTGGTGACAGTTGTCGTTGCTGCAGTAGGTGTCGTTGTTGCTTCAATTGTTGGAGAAGATGTCATTGTTGCTTCACTTGTTGTCGCGGTAGGTGTTGTTGTTGAAGCTGTTGTTGGAGCAGGTGTCGTTGCTTCATTTGTTGGAGATGTCATTGGTGCTTCAGTTGTTGTCGGGGTTGGTGTCATTGTTGCCTCAGTTGTTGAAGCAGGTGTCGTTGTTGAAGCAGTTGTTGGAGCAGGTGTCGTTGCTTCAGTTGTTGGAGATGTCATTGTTGCTTCAGTTGTTGTCGGGGTTGGTGTCATTGTTCCCTCGGTTGTGGGAGATGTCGTTGTTGCTTCAGTTGTTGTCCCGGCAGGTGTGGTTGTGGCTTCAGCTGTTGTGGGGACAGTTGCTGTTGTTGATGCAGTTGTTGTGGGAACAGCTGTCATTGCTTCAGTTGTTGTCGGGGCATGTGTCGTTGCTTCGGTTGTTGGAGAAGATGTCGTTGCTTCGGTTGTTGGAGAAGGTGTCGTTGTCGCCTCAGTTGTTGGAGTAGGTGTCGTTGCTTCAGTTGTTGTGGGGACAGTTGTCGTTGTTGGAGCAGGTGTTGTTGTTGCTTCAATTGTTGGGGAAGATGTCGTTGTTGCTTGAGTTGTTGTATCGGCAGGTGTTGTTGTTGAAGCAGTTGTTGGAGCAGGTGTCGTTGCTTCAGTTGTTGGAGATGTCATTGTTGCTTCAGTTGTTGTCGGGGTTGGTGTCATTGTTCCCACAGTTGTTGGAGATGTCGTTGTTGCTTCAGTTGTTGTCCCGGCAGGTGTGGTTGTTGCCTCAGGCATTGGAGTAGGTGTCGTTACTTCAGTTGTTGTGGTGGCAGTTGTCGTTGCTGCAGTAGGTGTCGTTGTTGCTTCAATTGTTGGAGAAGATGTCATTGTTGCTTCACTTGTTGTTGCGGTAGGTGTTGTTGTTGAAGCTGTTGTTGGAGCAGGTGTCGTTGCTTCATTTGTTGGAGATGTCATTGGTGCTTCAGTTGTTGTCGGGGTTGGTGTCATTGTTGCCTCAGTTGTTGAAGCAGGTGTCGTTGTTGAAGCAGTTGTTGGAGCAGGTGTCGTTGCTTCAGTTGTTGGAGATGTCATTGTTGCTTCAGTTGTTGTCGGGGTTGGTGTCATTGTTCCCTCAGTTGTGGGAGATGTCGTTGTTGCTTCAGTTGTTGTCCCGGCAGGTGTGGTTGTGGCTTCAGCTGTTGTGGGGACAGTTGCTGTTGTTGATGCAGTTGTTGTGGGAACAGCTGTCATTGCTTCAGTTGTTGTCGGGGCATGTGTCGTTGCTTCGGTTGTTGGAGAAGATGTCGTTGCTTCTGTTGTTGGAGAAGGTGTCGTTGTCGCCTCAGTTGTTGGAGTAGGTGTCGTTGCTTCAGTTGTTGTGGGGACAGTTGTCGTTGTTGGAGCAGGTTTTGTTGTTGCTTCAATTGTTGGGGAAGATGTCATTGTTGCTTGAGTTGTTGTATCGGCAGGTGTTGTTGTTGAAGCAGTTGTTGGAGCAGGTGTCGTTGCTTCAGTTGTTGGAGATGTCAATGTTGCTTCAGTTGTTGTCGGGGTTGGTGTCATTGTTCCCACAGTTGTTGGAGATGTCGTTGTTGCTTCAGTTGTTGTCCCGGCAGGTGTGGTTGTTGCCTCAGGCGTTGGAGTAGTTGTCGTTGCTTCAGTTGTTGTCGCAGCAGGTGTTGTTGTTGAAGCTGTTGTTGGAGCAGGTGTCGTTGCTTCATTTGTTGGAGATGTCATTGTTGCTTCAGTTGTTGTCGGGGTTGGTGTCATTATTGCCTCAGTTATTGAAGCAGGTGTCGTTGTTGAAGCAGTTGTTGGAGCAGGTGTCGTTGTTTCAGTTGTTGGAGATGTCATTGTTACTTCAGTTGTTGTCGGGGTTGGTGTGGTTGTGGCTTCAGCTGTTGTGGGGACAGTTGCTGTTGTTGATGCAGTTGTTGTGGGAACAGCTGTCATTGCTTCAGTTGTTGTCGGGGCAGGTGTCATTGGTTCGGTTGCTGGAGAAGATGTCGTTGCTTTGGTTGTTGGAGTAGATGTGGTTGTTGCTTCAGTTGTTGTCAGGGCAGGTGTGGTTGTTGCTTCAGCTGTTGGAGCAGTTGTTGTTGTTGCTTCAGTTGTTGTTGGGGCAGATGTCGTTGTTTCTGCAGTTGTTGGAGCAGGTGTTGTTGCTTCAGCTGTTGATGCAGTTGTTGTGGAGATAGTTGTTGTTGTACCCGCAGTTGTTGGAGCAGGTGTCGTTGCTTCAGTTGTTGGAGATGTCATTGTTGCTTCAGTGGTTGTCGAGGTTGGTGTCATTGTTTCCGCAGTTGTTGGAGATGTCGTTGTTTCTTCAGTTGTTGTTGGGGCAGATGTCGTTGTTTCTGCAGTTGTTGGAGTAGGTGTCGTTGGCGTAGCTGTTGGAGCAGTTGTTGGAGCAGGTGTTGTTGCTTCAGTTGTTGATGCAGTTGTTGTGGAGATAGTTGTTGTTCCCTCAGTTGTTGGAGAATGTGTCGTTGTCTCAGTTGGTGGAGTAGGTGTCGTTGTTGCTTCAGTTGTTGGAGCAGGTGTCGTTGTTGCTTCAGTTGTTGGAGCAGGTGTCGTTGTTGCTTCAGTTGTTGTCAGGGCAGTTGTCGTCATTGCTTCAGTTGTTGTCGGGACAGGTGTCGTTGTTGATGCTGTTTTTGTCAGGACACTTGTTGTTCCCTGAGTTGTTGGTGATGTCGTTGTTGCTTCAGTTGTTGTCGGGGCAGTTGTCGTCATTGCTTCAGTTGTTGTCGGGACAGGTGTCGTTGTTGATGCTGTTGTTGTCAGGACACTTGTTGTTCCCTGAGTTGTTGGAGATTTCGTTGTTTCAGTTGTTGTGGGGACAGTTGTCGTTGTTGGAGCAGGTGTTGCTTCAGTTGTTGTGGGAACAGTTGTCAGGGCAGATGTCGTTGTTTCTGCAGTTGTTGGAGTAGGTGTCATGGGCGTAGCTGTTGGAGCAGGTGTTGTTATTTCAGTTGTTGTGGGGACAGTTGTTGTTGTTGGAGCAGGTGTTGCTTCAGTTGTTGCTTCAGTTGTTGTGGGAAAAGTTGTTGTTGCTTCAGTTGTTGTTGGGGCAGGTGTGGTTTTTGCTTCAGGTGTTGGAGCAGGTGTGGTTGTTACTTGAGTTGTTTGAGCAGGTGTCGTTGTTGCTTCAATTGTTGTCGCGGCAGATGTCGTTGTTTCTGCAGTTGCTGGAGTAGGTGTCGTTGGCGTAGCTGTTGGAGCAGGTGTTGCTTCAGTTGTTGCTTCAGTTGTTGTCGGGGCGGGTGTCGTTGCTTCGGTTGTTGGAGAAGATGTCGTTGTTGCTTCAGTTGTTGTCGGGGCAGGTGTGGTTGTTGCTTCAGGTGTTGGAGCAGGTGTCATTGTTGCTTCAGTTGTTTGAGCAGGTGTCGTTTTTGCTTCAATTGTTGTTGGAGCAGGTGTTGTTGCTTCAGGTGTTGGAGCAGGTGTGGTTGTTACTTGAGTTGTTTGAGCAGGTGTCGTTGTTGCTTCAATTGTTGTCGCGGCAGATGTCGTTGTTTCTGCAGTTGCTGGAGTAAGTGTCGTTGGCGTAGCTGTTGGAGCAGGTGTTGCTTCAGTTGTTGTGGGAACAGTTGTTGTTGCTTCAGTTGTTGTCGGGGCAGGTGTCGTTGCTTCGGTTGTTGGAGAAGATGTCGTTGTTGCTTCAGTTGTTGTCGGGGCAGGTGTGGTTGTTGCTTCAGGTGTTGGAGCAGGTGTCGTTGTTGCTTGAGTTGTTTGAGCAGGTGTCGTTTTTGCTTCAATTGTTGTTGGAGCAGGTGTTGTTGCTTCAGTTGTTGATGCAGTTGTTGTGGAGATGGTTGTTGTTCCCTCAGTTGTTGGAGAATGTGTCATTGTTGTCGGGGCTGGTGTCGTTGTTGCCTCAGTTGTTGGAGCAGGTGTCGTTGGCGCAGTTGTTGGAGCGGGTGTCGTTGCCTCAGTTGGTGTAGCAGGTGTTGTTGTTGCTTCAGTTGTTGTTGGGGCAGGTGTCGTTGTTGATGCTGTTGTTGTTTCCTCAGTTGTTAAAACAGGTGTCGTTGTTCCCTCAGTTGTTGGAGATGTCGTTGTTGCTTCAGTTGTTGCCCGAGCAGGTGTAGTTGTTGCCTCAGGCGTTGGAGTCGGTGTTGTTGCTTCAGTTGTTGATGCAGTTGTTGTTGCTTCAGTTGTGGTCCGGGCAAGTGTGGTTGTTGCCTCAGGTGTTGGAAAAGATGTCGTTGTCGCCTCAGTTGTTGGAGTAGGTGTCGTTGCTTCAGTTGTTGTGAGGACAGTTGTCGTTGTTGAAGCAGGTGCCGTTGTTGCTTCAGTTGTTGGAGAAGATGTCATTGTTGCTTCAGTTGTTGTCGCGGCAGATGTCGTTGTTGAAGCAGTGGTTGGAGCAGGTGTCGTTGTTTTTGTCACTGTTGTTGCTGCAGTTCTTGTTGTTTTTGAAGAAGTTGTTGTTGGAGCACGTGTTGTTGCTTTTGACACTGTTGTTGCTGCAGTTCTTCTTGTTGTTTTTGAAGAAGTTGTTGGAGCACGTGTTGTTGCTTTTGACACTGTTGTTGCTGAAGTTCTTCTTGTTGTTTTTGGAGAAGTTGTTGTTCTAGAATGTGTTGTTTTTACAGTTGTCGGAGCACGTGTGGTTGCTTTTGACACTGTTGTTGCTGCAGTTCTTCTTGTTGTTTTTGGAGAAGTTGTTGTTCTAGAATGTGTTGTTTTTACAGTTGTTGGAGCACGTGTGGTTGTTTTTGACACTGTTGTTGCTGCAGTTCTTGTTGTTGTTTCTGAAGAAGTTGTTGGAGCACGCGTTGTTGTTTTTGCAGTTGTCGGAGCACGTGTTGTTGGAGCAGGTGTCGTTGCTTCAGTTGTTGGAGTAGGTGTCGTTGTTGCCTCAGTTGTTGGAGCAGTTGTTGAAGCAAGCAGATACGAATATAGGGTGTCATTCACTTTGATTGAGCTCCTTTCAATGTCGAAGCCAGTGACGTTTAAACTATCATTGATCAAAACCCTCCCAATCTCAATATTATTAGGAACAGATGTGCTTGCAAAGAGAAGGTTCACGTCATTGATGACTGATCCACTTCTGCAGATGGAGAAACATAAAATATTTTTGAAATATCACATTTTGGTCACTACTCTTAAAATTTTAAGTCTTAACAAATTACCTGAATGACACCACGTCCAAGGACCTGAAGGAGGAAGGAAATGCCTTTAGGAACACAGGTTCAAGCTGCAGAAACAGAAAACAAATCGTACTTAAACACATTTCACATATATGTTTGCCTAAGTTGTACAGTGAGCTGGAGGTGTAGTTTAGTTATCTTCACTCTTTATTTCATATAATAATTATTATTATTATTCTGCAGCAGCAGCAGCTGCAGCATAAAAATGCAAATATTCTAGTTTGTCATTATATTTAACCCTTGATATCTCTATCATAGACTGTCTAGCAAGAGTAAAAGTTTTTCATATTTTACTGTTTTTTCTTTTTCTTTTGTTTCCTGTCAATTCTGTAGCGCAGAAAAACTACTCCAGAAGAAAGACAGACAGGAGGAAAAATAATGATGATAACCACTACATGATTCAAAAAATAACAGATGACATATTAATTTTTTGCAGAAGCATTACGTTTCTTCATGTGTATTTCTAGTCAGTGTGCACATTTTTTCAACTGGTGGTAGTAAATCAGCCCCTAAATGTTTTATCAGATACAATACAGCCTTAATACTTATTTTTGAAGGTTACTAAGGTTATTGATACTTTAAGAAACTTGGTTTTAATGATAACAGTGGTAACACTTTATAATAAAGCCCGCGATTTACAATCTAATTTTGTTGTATGAATCAACTTTTAATTAAGTATTTACTTATAAACAAGACTATAGGCCTAGGACTATAGAACAACTGAGTAAGTAAATTATACTATTTTTGTAAATACTGGTTACTTACTGGAAAACAAACATTTGGAAAAAATTAACACAGTAAATACTAAGTAAAAAGAGTATTAGCTGTATTTAAAGTGTTACCATAAGATTTCAGTTCTCTGAATGGGGGACTGAGCTCCAGTAATTGTACCAGAAGATTTTATTCTAACAGTTTGACTTACCTGTGTCTTTATCATTGAAACTCGATCTTTAAATGCTGCAGATGATTGATTGCTCAAGTCACTTGTAAATGTGCTTTGAACAGATCTGAAAGTCACTGCTGTTGTAATGAGTGCTACAGTTGTAGGTGCAGTAGTTGTAGATATGGTAGTGGTAGTTGTCGCCTCAGTTGTTAGAGTAGGTGTCGTTGCTTCAGTTGTTGTGGGGACAGTTGTCGTTGTTGGAGCAGATGTCGTTGTTGCTTCATTTGTTGTCGCGGCAGGTGTCGTTGTTGAAGCAGTTGTTGGAGCAGGTGTCGTTGCTTCAGTTGTTGGGGCAGGTGTCATTGTTGCTTCAGTTGTTGTCGGGGCAGTTGTTGTCATTGCTTCAGTTGTTGTCAGGGTAGGTGTTGTTGTTGATGCTCTTGTTGTCAGGAAACTTGTTATTTCTTCAGTTGTTGAAGCAGGTGTTGTTGTTCCCTCAGTTGTTGGAGCTGGTGTCGTTGTTTCATCAGTTGTTGGAGATGCCGTTGTTGCTTCAGTTGTTGTCCGGGCAGGTGTGGTGTTTGCCTCAGTTGTTGGAGTAGTTGTCGTTGCTTCAGTTGCTGTCGGGGTTGGTCTTGTTGTTGCCTCAGTTGTTGGACCAGGTATCGTTGTTGGCGCAGTTGTTGGAGCAGGTGTTGTTGCTTCACTTGTTGTCGGCGCAGGTGTCGTTGTTGGTGCAGTTGTCGTGTTTGGTGCAGTTGTTGTTGTTGGAGCAGGTGGTGTTGTTGCTTCATTTGTTTTTGGGGCAGGTGTCGTTGTTGCGTCAGTTGTTGTCGGGGCAGTTGTCGTCATTGCTTCAGTTGTTGTCGGGGCACTCGTTCTTGCCTCAGTTGTTGAAGCTGGTGTCGTTGTTTCTTCAGTTGTTGGAGATACCGTTGTTGCTTCACTTGTTGTCCGGGCAGGTGTGGTTGTTGCCTCGGGTGTTGGAACAGGTGTTGTTGTTGCCTCAGTTGTTGGAGTAGGTGTCGTTGCTTCAGTTGTTGTGGGGACAGTTGTTGTCGCCTCAGTTGTTGGAACAGGTGTCGTTGTTGCTTCAGTTGTTGGAGTAGGTGTCGTTCCTTCAGTTGTTGGCGATGCCGTTGTTGCTTCAGTTGTTGTTTGGGCAGGTGTGGTTGTTGCCTCAGTTGTTGGAACAGGTGTCGTTTTCACCTCAGTTGTTAGAGTAGGTGTCGTTGCTTCAGTTGTTGTGGGGACAGTTGTCGTTGTTGGAGCAGATGTTGTTGCTTCATTTGTTGATGCAGTTGTTGTGGGAATAGTTGTTGGAGCAGGTGTCATTGTTGCTTCAGTTGTTGGAGATGTCGTTGCTTCAGTTGTTGTCGGGACAGGTGTCGTTGTTGCCTCAGTTGTTGGAGCAGATGTCGTTGTTGCTTCAGTTGTTGGAGATGTCATTGTTGCTTCAGTTGTTGTTGGGGTTGGTGTCATTGTTGCCTCAGTTGTTGAAGTAGGTGTCGTTGTTGAAGCAGTTGTTGGAGCAGATGTCGTTGTTGCTTCAGTTGTTGGAGCAGATGTCGTTGTTGCTTCAGTTGTTGGAGATGTCATTGTTGCTTCAGTTGTTGTTGGGGTTGGTGTCGTTGTTGCCTCAGTTGTTGAAGCAGGTGTCGTTGTTGAAGCAGTTGTTGGAGCAGGTGTTGTTGTTGGCGCAGGTGTCGTTGTTGCTTCATTTGTTGGAGCAGAAGTCGTTGTTGCTTCAGTTGTTGGAGATGTCATTGTTGTCATTGCTTCAGTTGTTGTCAGGGTAGGTGTTGTTGTTGATGCTCTTGTTGTCAGGACACTTGTTATTTCCTCAGTTGTGGAAGCAGGTGTCGTTGTTCCCTCAGTTGTTGGAGCTGGTGTCGTTGTTTCATCAGTTGTTGGAGATGCCGTTGTTGCTTCAGTTATTGTCCGGGCAGGTGTGGTGTTTGCCTCAGGTGTCGTTGTCGCCTCAATTGTTGGAGTAGGTGTCGTTGCTTCAGTTGTTGTGGGGACAGTTGTTGTTGTTGGAGCAGTTGTTGTTGTTTCAGTTGTTGATGCAGTTGTTGTGGGAACAGTTGTTGTTGCCTCAGTTGTTGGAGTATTTGTCATTGCTTCAGCTGTTGTCGCGGCAGGTGTCGTTGTTGCCTCAGTTGTTGGAGCAGATGTCGTTGTTGCTTCAGTTGTTGGAGATGTCATTGTTGCTTCAGTTGTTGTTGGGGTTGGTTTCATTGTTGCCTCAGTTGTTGAAGTAGGTGTCGTTGTTGAAGCAGTTGTTGGAGCAGATGTCGTTGTTGCTTCAGTTGTTGGAGCAGATGTTGTTGCTTCATTTGTTGATGCAGTTGTTGTGGGAACAGTTGTTGGAGCAGGTGTCATTGTTGCTTCAGTTGTTGGAGATGTCGTTGCTTCATTTGTTGTCGGGGCAGGTGTCGTTGTTGCTTCATTTGTTGGAGCAGAAGTCGTTGTTGCTTCAGTTGTTGGAGATGTCATTGTTGTCATTGCTTCAGTTGTTGTCAGGGTAGGTGTTGTTGTTGATGCTCTTGTTGTCAGGACACTTGTTATTTCCTCAGTTGTGGAAGCAGGTGTCGTTGTTCCCTCAGTTGTTGGAGCTGGTGTCGTTGTTTCATCAGTTGTTGGAGATGCCGTTGTTGCTTCAGTTATTGTCCGGGCAGGTGTGGTGTTTGCCTCAGGTGTCGTTGTCGCCTCAATTGTTGGAGTAGGTGTCGTTGCTTCAGTTGTTGTGGGGACAGTTGTTGTTGTTGGAGCAGTTGTTGTTGTTTCAGTTGTTGATGCAGTTGTTGTGGGAACAGTTGTTGTTGCCTCAGTTGTTGGAGTATTTGTCATTGCTTCAGCTGTTGTCGCGGCAGGTGTCGTTGTTGCCTCAGTTGTTGGAGCAGATGTCGTTGTTGCTTCAGTTGTTGGAGATGTCATTGTTGCTTCAGTTGTTGTTGGGGTTGGTTTCATTGTTGCCTCAGTTGTTGAAGTAGGTGTCGTTGTTGAAGCAGTTGTTGGAGCAGATGTCGTTGTTGCTTCAGTTGTTGGAGCAGATGTTGTTGCTTCATTTGTTGATGCAGTTGTTGTGGGAACAGTTGTTGGAGCAGGTGTCATTGTTGCTTCAGTTGTTGGAGATGTCGTTGCTTCATTTGTTGTCGGGGCAGGTGTCGTTGTTGCCTCAGTTGTTGGAGCAGATGTCATTGTTGCTTCAGTTGTTGGAGATGTCATTGTTGCTTCAGTTGTTGTTGGGGTTGGTGTCATTGTTGCCTCAGTTGTTGAAGTAGGTGTCGTTGTTGAAGCAGTTGTTGGAGCAGATGTCGTTGCTTCAGTTGTTGGAGCAGATGTCGTTGTTGCTTCAGTTGTTGGAGATGTCATTGTTGCTTCAGTTGTTGTTGGGGTTGGTGTCATTGTTGCCTCAGTTGTTGAAGCAGGTGTCGTTGTTGAAGCAGTTGTTGGAGCAGGTGTTGTTTTTGGCGCATGTGTCGTTGTTGCTTCATTTGTTGTTGGGGCAGGTGTCGTTGTTGCTTCAGTTGTTGTCGGGGCAGTTGTTGTCATTGCTTCAGTTGTTGTCAGGGTAGGTGTTGTTGTTGATGCTCTTGTTATCAGGACACTTGTTATTTCCTCAGTTGTGGAAGCAGGTGTCGTTGTTCCCTCAGTTGTTGGAGCTGGTGTCGTTGTTTCATCAGTTGTTGGAGATGCCGTTGTTGCTTCAGTTGTTGTCCGGGCAGGTGTAGTGTTTGCCTCAGGTGTTGGAACAGGTGTCGTTGTCGCCTCAATTGTTGGAACAGGTGTCGTTGTCGCCTCAATATTTGGAGTAGGTGTCGTTGCTTCAGTTGTTGTGGGGACAGTTGTTGTTGTTGGAGCAGGTGTTGTTGTATCGGTTGTTGATGCAGTTGTTGTGGGAACAGTTGTCGTTGCTTCAGCTGTTGTCGCGGCAGGCGTCGTTGTTGCCTCAGTTGTTGGAGCAGATGTCGTTGTTGCTTCAGTTGTTGGAGATGTCATTGTTGCTTCAGTTGTTGTTGGGGTTGGTGTCATTGTTGCCTCAGTTGTTGAAGCAGGTGTCGTTGTTGAAGCAGTTGTTGGAGCAGATGTCGCTGCTTCAGTTGTTGGAGCAGATGTCGTTGTTGCTTCAGTTGTTGGAGATGTCATTGTTGCTTCAGTTGTTGTTGGGGTTGGTGTCATTGTTGCCTCAGTTGTTGAAGCAGGTGTCGTTGTTGAAGCAGTTGTTGGAGCAGGTGTTGTTGTCGGCGCAGGAGTCGTTGTTGCTTCATGTGTTGTTGGGGCAGGTGTCATTGTTGCTTCAGTTGTTGTCAGGGTAGGTGTTGTTGTTGATGCTCTTGTTGTCAGGACACTTGTTATTTCCTCAGTTGTTGAAGCAGGTGTCGTTGTTCCCTCAGTTGTTGGAGCTGGTGTCGTTGTTTCATCAGTTGTTGGAGATGCCGTTGTTGCTTCAGTTGTTGTCCGGGCAGGTGTGGTGTTTGCCTCAGGTGTTGGAACAGGTGTAGTTGTCGCCTCAATTGTTGGAGTAGGTATCGTTGTTTCAGTTGTTGTGGGGACAGTTGTTGTTGTTGGAGTATTTGTTGTTGCTTCAGCTGTTGTCGCGGCAGGTGTCGTTGTTGCCTGAGTTGTTGGAGCAGATGTCGTTGTTGCTTCAGTTGTTGGAGATGTCATAGTGGCTTCAGTTGTTGTAGTGGTTGGTTTCATTGTTTCCTCAGTTGTTGAAGCAGGTGTGGTTGTTCCCTCAGTTGTTGGAGATGTCGTTGTTGCATCAGTTGTTATCCCGGCAGGTGTGGTTGTTGGTGTTGGAAAAGGTGTTGTTGTCGCCTCAGTTGTTGGAGTAGGTGTCGTTGCTTCAGTTGTTGTGGGGACAGTTGTTGTTGTTGGAGCAGGTGTTGTTGATTCTATTGCTGATGCAGTTGTTGTGGGAACAGTTGTTGGAGCATGTGTCGTTGTTGCCTCAGTTGTTGGAGTAGTTGTCGTTGCTTCAGTTGCTGTCGGGGTTGGTCTCGTTGTTTCCTCAGTTGTTGGACCAGGTGTCGTTGTTGGCGCAGTTGTTGGACCAGGTGTCGTTGCTTCAATTGTTGTCCTGGCAGGTGTGGTTGTTGCCTCAGTTGTTGGAGTAGGTGTCGTTGATTCAGTTGTTGTGGGGACAGTTATCGTTGTTGCCTTAGTTGTTGATGCAGTTGTTGTGGGAACAGTTATTGTTGCCTCAGTTGTTGTCACGGCAGGTGTCGTTGTTGAAGCAGTTTTTGGAGCAGGTGTCGTTTTTGACACAGTTGTTGCTGCAGTTGTTATTGTTGTTTTTTGAGAAGTTGTTGTTGAAGCATATGTTGTCGTTTTTGCAGTTGTTGGAGCACGTGTCGTTGTTTTCGTCACTGTTGTTCCTGCAGTTCTTCTAGTTGTTTTTGGAGAAGTTGTTCTAGAACGTGTTGTTTTTGTAGTTGTTGGAACACGTGTCGTTTTTGACACTATTGTTGCTGCAGTTCTTCTTGTTGTTTTTGGAGAAGTTGTTCTAGAACGTGTTGTTTTTGTAGTTGTTGGAACACGTGTCGTTTTTGACACTATTGTTGCTGCAGTTCTTCTTGTTGTTTTTGGAGAAGTTGTTCTAGAACGTGTTGTTTTTGTAGTTGTCGGAACACGTGTTGTTTTTGACACTATTGTTGCTGCAGTTCTTCTTGTTGTTTTTGAAGAACTTGTTGTTGGAGCACGTGTCGTTTTCTTTGACACTGTTATTGCTGCAGTTCTTAATGTTGTTTTTGAAGAGGTTGTAGTTGTCGGAGCACGTACTGTTGTTTTTGCAGTTGTTGGCGGAGCACGTATTGTTGTTTTTGCAGTTGTTGGCGGAGCACGTACTGTTGTTTTTGCAGTTGTTGGCGGAGCACGTACTGTTGTTTTTGCAGTTGTTGGCGGAGCACGTACTGTTGTTTTTGCAGTTGTTGGCGGAGCACGTACTGTTGTTTTTGCAGTTGTTGGAGCACGTGTCGTTTTTGACACTGTTGTTGCTGCTGTTATTGTTGTTTTTGGAGAAGTTGTTGCAGCACGTGTTGTTTTTGCAATTATTGGAGCAGGTGTCGTGGTTTTTGACACTGTTGTTGCTGCAGTTGTTGTTGTAGCAGGTGTCTTTGTTGAAGTAGCAAGTGTCTGTGTTGACACAGTGGTTGATGTTGAAGCAGGTGCCGTTGTTCCTGCTGTTGCTGTAGAGCACAATCAACATTATATCACAACACATCATATCATATCATCTAACCTAGCCAAGTGAAGTGGTTTTTAAATTTTTATAAAATTTACAACTATAATGTCAAAGAATATTCAAATTCTTAGATTTGTGATTTGTTTCCCTCATAAATGTAACACTATTATTTGTCTTGGATTGTTAACCCTCTTCCCAGCGCCAATCTGCAGTTGCACCGTTACCTCTCAATCATATTACAAATAATAGAAGAGTCCAATAGACTAAATAGAGAAATAAAACAATAACACTGTAAAGTAACCTACAAGTGCATTCAATACGCTGCCACCAAGATTTGGCCGTTGACTTGGATGTGCACAAACATTTTGTAGGAGAGGGGTTCAAGAGAAAAAAAGTGCACTCAATTATTTATTTAAAAGTTTATTTATTTATTTAAGTTTTTCATACTCAACAGATTTCTGTTGACCACCACATTTGTGCAGGTGCCTGGCCCTTAAGGTTTCTTTACACTCCTCATACTAATTTGGAGCATGCACCATTATGAAAAACTTTGCCTGCATTTCCTCATGCACCTTTTATGCCAACATGCACAAACCCCAAATAAGATGCCACCGAAACAACTAACCAACATCTTATTCACCATCGTGGGACTGTTTAACACCAATGTAGGCAGTCAACGGTTGTCAACCCTGATTTACCTTGATGACACTGAGTTAAATCTGGCTAGGTTGAATCCCCTTCGTTGTATAGGCCTCTGGTCAGTCACTGGTGCAACTAACCTTATCATAGATCCAATGTAATGCAAAGTAACTTGATGTAAGTGTGATACAAGACTCCCATTTGTCTTTGTATGAGAAATATTGCATCCACCTTAACTTCAGGTTGTGTTATTGCCCATTTAACAGAGTAAAATATGTAATTACACAACATTCTATGTCAGCAGTTATTACCTGACATGTTAGACCTCCCATGTCAATATATTAGGAGCGTTTGTGATTTAAAATCTGTACCACTACGTTCACTTTCAGGGAACCCCTCTCTATTAACAGGGTCTCCCTCCCTTACCTCTTCCCTTTTGTTGTACGGAAGTATGGAAGGGGTAGTGGCATCGTGATAATCTAAGTGCTTTTAATTTACTAGCCTACTAGGGGGGTATTCTAACTTTGGACAAGTTTGTGCAGCGTTGTTCACGAGAGAGAAGGAGGAGCCAGCAAGCAAGAGAAGGTGCTTCATGAACATATGCTCCTCAGTCAAATATGATATTCCAAATTATAGGCTAATTATTGGAGACTCTCACTACCACCCCTTCCCCCCCAAACAAAGCAGTCTCTTCTTACTTTTTAACTAATATCATATTCATAACAGCAGCAAGGACTGTGGTTTTTACAAAGCTTATAGCCTAGGCCTAAAGTTTCTTAACACAACGGGCTTAATTAAAAAAATTAAGCAAGCCAATCCCGACTTTTGAAAAGCTGTTGCCTGTTTATAAGAGCAGTTACAAAACATTACGTTAACGCCACTCTCTACCAACGAGTCCAAGCATCAGTGATAGTTGCTGCCAGAGTTTTTTTCTGCAAGTTTGATTTTGCTGTGCTGCTTCAGGAGATGCTTCAAAAAATCAGATGTTGAATTGTTCACGGTTGAAAGCCTTTTGCTGTTCGCACAGAGTTTACAATTAAAGACGACAATGTTCTTTGCATCTTAGACTGTGACACAAAAATGGCAGTAGCTACAGCTGTGGAAATAACGCCTCTCTCCCTCGTTCTCCTTTCTTCCTTTAGTTTTTGGCTATCAGTGGACATGACCAACAGAAGTTCCAGTCCCGCTGAGCTGCTATACAGTCATGGATTCACGTCAAGGATGGTGCGATCAGTAACGAGTAATGCTGCATCACTTGCATAAACTGTAATAATATTACTGTTTTAGAAAAGTAATTAGTTACACTACTGTGAAAAGTAATATTATTACAGTAACGCGTTACTGCCCAACACTGGTTGTCAGGTTTGTTTTCTGTAGTTGAATAAATGTACTCTCCCTTTGGTTCAACTTCAGCCCATGTAACCGGCCCTTGGTTGTACTGAAAGGTCCAGACACAAACATGCCACCTCGGGTACGGGAGACAGACGCGCTAACGAGGAGGCTAAAACCCATGGGTGCTAGTGTTGGTCGCTAGTGCATCTCTTAAGGGAGTGAGGTTTACTCACTGCAAAGCCTAGCTGGCTATCGTTACACCCACACCTTTTCTAATATTTTAGAGAGTAGAAAGAGGGTTTAAAATCACTCAGCTTACCCATTAGAATCAGGACAATTGATATGGTCCATGTGGTGCCCATCTTGTCTTCACATGAATCTATCAAATCAAACAATACAGTAACTTACTCACAAAAAGAAAGTTGCTAGTTACTATCACCATTGCATTCAATATAATGTTAATGTTGGAATTTCTATGAGAATACAGCGGAATCAAACATTTGTATGATTTTTTGTTCTCTGTATCTCTGTCCATTTGTATTTTAAATGAAACAGATTATTTAAAATAAAATATAATTTCTACCAGTATACAACTTTTACTGCAAATGACTGAATTCATTATAGGAGTATTTTTATCCTTTATAACTTGTAATTAGGGAATAAACTCCAATATCAGAGAAACTCTAATATCATAAAAAGAAACTGTTAAAGCAAAATTATATAAAAATACATTATTTTTTACAGATATAATATTTTGAAAATATACTAATGACTTCATGTGGTAATCACTTATTATCACTTTAGGTATGTGGTAATATACATGAATTACACATAATTTACAAAGAAATAGAAATGCATACAATATCCGATGAATACATGTAAAAAAAGAAAAAAAGTGTATAT